TTCTTTTAGATAGCAGCATATATACCTCCATAGGTAACAGTAATCTAGAAGGACAAGCGGCGTCCAATTCCTCGCATACAGCTTCACAAGATTTTACGTTGTATCTTCGTTAATACAACTAAGAAAAAAAGCTTTCTGGTACCCGCGGGCAGAGAGCAGGGTACATGTTTATACTTATCTAACCGCCAGGATCTCAATGCGGGTTCCGAATCGCGTGCGGCGTACCCCCCTCCCCTGCTCGTGTCACCAGACCCGATTCTTGATTTGGAAGTCCCTATACTCGCTTCCTTATGTACAACTCACGAAAAGCTTCTTGGCGGCTGCAAGACAACGGCCGGCCGCCGGCAACACACGATGGAATCTATTAATACTATGTGTAACCACCTGACGTCACCATATTTGGAGGACCTGCCTAGTCATCAGCTCATCTTCCCTCTTCAATTTTCACTTCCCCGAATTACCCCGCCCATCGGTGAACACTCATCTCACCTCGTTGCTAGCTATCGGACACATTCTTGGTACCTCTGGCACCTGGCCGTTATCGCTGCGCATTTTGGGACGCATCTTCTGCGTCCATATAGTCTCCAACAGTTACTAGCCTCGCCAACACCCCCCGCATCTTTACCTCTTAAGTGTACACGCCGGCTATTCTACACGTCATCTACAGCAAGCCTAACTCTGACCTTAAAACCCCGATGCGGCTTCTGCGGCGCTACAACTGAGCACATTCCACACGCTCATAACTCGGGCACTGATCTGAACCCGTCGATAAACTTGTTCAAGACGTCAACCCCAAGCGAATCAGTTCCAACTACCAAGCCGCATCACAGTATCAAAGCTGCCAGATTGCGCCTCTGTAAAGTTTCTTTGGAGGCTGCTAAAGAGGCCGTAGCCAGCCACTGCTGTTTGCGATTGAAACTGGATTTGGCCCCACCTTGATTTCCGGACCTAAAACTGAGTCTTATTCAACGAGAATTGTATCGGTCGGTTTCATTGTTTCATTGAAACTCAAAATGTCAACACCGAAAAGAAAGATTAGTAAATCGAAGAAACAATTCGGGTTAGTGAAAGCCGTAGGCCACCATTTTTAAAGATGATGCTGATTCATTCTACTTAGTAAACTGTACACCTCCTTGGGCGACACAGCTGCATCATTTTCCCAGCAAGGTCTCAGAAAGATACAGCTTAAATCTTTTGAGCAGAATACAGCACGGTGGAAAGACGCGTTGCCGTCAGGATGCCGCTTTGGCATGTTTGTCGGCGCCATATTGGCATGGCTGGTCTTCATCACTAATATCAGCGTCCTTGCATGGGCTAGCCGCGCGAAGAATGGTAGCATATATACTGGAGACTGCAACAAAGTCGAGAGGACAAGCACGGTGATTCATTTACTGATCAACATCCTTAGTTCGCTTCTCTTAGGCGCCAGCAACTATTGCATGCAATGCCTTTGTGCTCCAACCAGGGCGGAGGTTGACCAGGCCCACTTTCAACGGCGCTTTATCGAAATTGGCGTCCAGAGCATCCGGAATTTTCGTCTAATAAAAAGGTGGAAGTTTATAATCTGGTGTTTACTTGGAGTTTCTTCCTTACCGCTTCACCTGGTGTAAGTGCGTCTATCTGATACATTCTTCTAATCTTATTAATCATACTCAGATACAACTCTGTCTTCTACTCAAGTCTAGCCAATCACGACTACTGGGTATTGGGAATTGATCAAAAACTTCCCGATCCAACTTCGGGAGACATTTTCAACGAGCTGGGGTGCTTAAGTGCCGATGAAGATACAATAGATCCGATTGCACTTCGGAAGAACATGACAGCAGATTCCAGCAACCTTGAGCGATTGAGTAACTCGCAGTGTCTCGACGCATACAGTAAGGATCTGCTTCCAGAACGGAGCAATCTGATCCTCGTCATGCAAAGTAACGACACAATCTGCCAGCAGAAAGACAGCGAACAGTTTTGCTCCTGGTCATATTGTGCATACAATTGCTCTCAATCATTCCTTTATATTCTCCATACGTATGGGGTTGAAAGCCCCACATATGACTGGATGATTGCTGCCGAAGCCTACGAGGCATACGACAGGGACGAGGTCAATGCGAAACTGGCAAAAATAAAGGAGCACCCTGACAATTGGGCTGTACAAGGAGTGCCAATTAAGGGATGTTTAAGCCAAAGAGTGGAGCCGAAGTGCCGTCTCAACTTCAGTCTCCCTCTTGGTATCACTGCGGTAGTCTTCAACTTTATGAAGGCTTTCTGCATCACGATTGTATTGTGGTTTTATCGGGACCAACCCCTTGTGACCGTAGGAGATGCCGTAGCGTCATTTTTGCTATCTCCAGATCCAGACACCGCAGGGTTGTGCTTAACAACCGCGATAGAAGTACAGGATATCTGGGGCAGACAAGAAAACACTACGGTGAAGGCGAAAGAGGCGTACAACCAACACAAGTTAAGCTATTCCAAAGGAGCAAGCCGTAATGTCTGGATAGCGTGGATAATTGTGTAAGTACGGGAAGTTAACTAGGTTATCATAAAGCTGACAAACTGTTACAGTTTTATCACCTGCATTTCCGTGACAACCACCCTCGCCATATATGGCAGCACTAAGACAACGAGGGAAGGCTGGCGGAGCGGATTAGGCGCAGTAACTGTGTCCAACATCATCAACGGCTGGGCAATACCATCCTCCAACGTTGTCGCTTCTATCCTAATAGCCAACATACCGCAAACGGTTCTCTCATTCTTGTACCTTATCCACAACAACCTCTGGACAAGGATGCTCCTGGCAGCAGAGTGGAGCGATTTTGCGTACGAACGCAAAGGGCTTCGACTCTCGTCCCGGAATGCTGATTCGTCTCAGCGGAGCACCTACTTCCTGCAAGTGCCATACAGATATGGGATCCCCCTGATGGCGCTCTGTACCTTGCTCCATTGGATGATCTCGCAAAGCATCTACCTTGCAGTTATCGATATGTACAGCATGTCTGATGAGCTAATCCCGGAGGAGAGGATTGTGACCTGTGGATACTCTCTTGTTGCGATAATATGCACTATCGTCGTTGCACTCATTATGATGGTAGTAACAATCATAATGGCGCGGATGAAGAAGCTAAAACCGGGGATCCCATTGGTCGGGAGCAACAGCGTGGCGATTGCGGCAGCATGCCATGCACCCACGGACGGAGCGGACCCGAGAAAACCTGTCAAATGGGGAGAAGTATCAACAGAGACAGAGTTGCAACAACTGGATGGAAGACATGTGGGAGAAGAAGATGCGTTGGATTCTCACTCAGATTTGTATGCTGGACACTGCAGCTTTTCCAGCGGGCCGGTAGAAGAACCTATTCCGGGGAAACTATACGCATAAGGTTTCGGGCACTCTATTACCCGCCGCACGAAGCAAATCTATCTCTTTACCTTCATGATATCTTCATTTGTTCTTTACAACGTAATTGCTAACTTTGAAAAACCAAGTATGTACAAAAACTACCCAACCATTCTGCACTTCAGCTCCTGCAATATAGCCCTTTGGCTTTGACGACTCCGCGCCAATGAATCCTTGTTTTCCTCCGCCCGACGCAGCATGTACAAAAGACAGTCCTTCGGATCACCCCACGTCCCATACTTATACACGCTGACCTGATCTTCCGACGAAGACAGATTGTGGCCAGCCAGCTGCATCGAAAGCTCATCCGCCATGCCCAACAGCTGTGCGACCGACAGGTGCCGTGCTCCCTTGGCCGACTTGTCAGATCTGCTGGGCCTCTGTCGCCATAGCTCTAATGCCTCCATGATGGACTGCGTGTTGTGAGATGCCAGCATCACGTCGGCAACCCACTGTGGAGCGGCGTTGGTGCTGTTGAGAGAACTCTTTCCTGTGAGAAGATGGGTCACTGCCGCATCATAGGCCGCGTCGGTGTCCTGCTTGGTATCGTGGATGGTCGACCGATCCACTTCGAAGTGCATGTAGGCACCACGGACAAGCTTGACGCCGGCGATGTATCCTTGTTTCCGAGAGATCTCAAGATCTTGCAAAAGCTTAGACGGCGTCGATTTGAGATACATCTGGTAAGTCTTGTACACTACAACCTCCGAGCCATTGTTGAAAGATGTCATGAGTTCCTAATGGAGTTATTATTCGTGTTGGTGTAAGTTTCTTGGGCGTCTTACCATGGCCAGGCTGTCAATACCGTTGAGAATTGCTTGTTGTTCGGCGTCAATCAAGACCCGGACTCCCTTTGCTTTCGCCGCATCACAGATCTGAGAGCCAGCATCCCTCAATGGCTTGAGTTCCGGGTAGTCTTCGAGATTCTGGTCAGGGCTCATCGACTTCATCAACTTGATGGAGTTCTGGCCAGCGCCACTGTATTTTACGGCTATGCAGTCACCGGGCTCTGCAATTCGTACAGTTTCTAGATTCAGACGCAACCATTCCTGCAACTGGCTATCGGTGACGACAGCATGCTGCTCTGCCTTGACAGCGTTTGTGTTGGCTTCCTTGGCTTGGGCGAGGACGACTCCGGTGATGCCGAAATGACGGAGCTCAGCAATGGTGCTTGAAACCTCGGCAGCAGATTCTCCTAAGCAGTACTGTGCGTAGAAAGTTCGTTTTACGAGGTACCTGGCTAGCCTTGAAGTGTCGATCTTGTCGGCATGGCGTTGCAGAGTGGAGACGGTGAAGCTGAGAAGACGACTGGGAAGGGCAGCGAAAGAAAGGACCAAAAGAGAGCGTAGCAATGAGACAAGAGGAAGAGGTTGCAAAGGCCGCCTCTCGACGGGCGAAAGCCTCGAAGGAGAGACTCTGGAAAGCTCTTGCAGGGAGCGCCTCTGGAGCCCGTGCGGAAAAGCACAGCGTCGGATGGCGAGGGGCCTCAGAGACATGGCACGAGGATGAGGTTGGGAAAAATTGACAGGCTTGAAGCCCCTCTAGATATCTCCAATGGCTCGGTGAGGATTACCGGGGCTGGCCGAGGCAGCTATGCTGAAAGAGGAAATGGCTGATAAGCGGCGTGTGGGGTTCGGCCTTGTCGCATACGCTAACCCTGCCTGCCGGCCCCTACAAAACTAACGCGTACCACGTACCTAGCCCTTCCTCGCTCCTCCGCATCGCCAACTTTCGCCCCTCCCATGGAGATCACCAGCAGCCGCACCACAACGGCACGTGCGTGTCGCAGCCGGTCCGGATGTGCATATTGCAAGGGTTGGTCCGATGCCTAACCCCTCATTCTTGCCTGCCACTGACGCATCATATTAGCCCGGAAGCGGCGATGTGGAGGTTGGTGACCTTTTCTTTTTGCAACGACTGGTTGCTGATTGCCGCTTAGAGGAACTCCCAGCCTGCCAGGCCTGCCGGAAGCGCGGACTGAAGTGCGTCTATCCGAGTCGGGATCCTACCGATCGCGTGTACCAGTACCAGATTTCACAAGGTATGAGGACTCTGACCACTAATTGTCGGTCCAGGCTGACGCCCTGCAGGACGCGGCTATCATTTCGTCCCTATCGACAAAAGGTCCTCGTGTCAATTGCTTAACGTCACCGATCGCGACGTTGCGCGCTTCAGTGATAGGTATTTCGATGATTCAAATGGAGATATCGACGCAGAGCCGCCTCCGCGCCCAAGGCTGGGCGGCACTACCCGGCTCTTGACCTTTCCCGAGATAAACGATGTCCAAAATCAACTACTACAATATTGTAAGTATCTGCCGAATATGACAAACGCAGCTAACCTCTCAGACACCGAGGTCATGTGCAAGTGCCGTGTGTTTGAGGACGGTGCTTGCAACCCGTTTAGGTCCATCATCCTGCCCTTGTGTTATGGGTCAAATCGGTCGCTCAACGCGGTTCTCGCCTTGAGTGCCAACGATCGCCGGACCGCCGCCGCTTCCGCCGTTGACTACACGCGACTTTCTCTGCAGTACAAGAACAAAGTACTGAAAGAGTTGTTTGACTCAGTTTCCAGGGCAGATTGTGCAAACGAAAACGTCATTATCTGCCTCCTTCTTTGCTCCTTGGAAATTGCAGATGAAATCCAGCCAGTGTGGGTCCGACACATGCAGGGCGCCTACGCTATCATGGATAGTTTCAGCTCGTTCATTAACAACGACATCCGGTCATTCGCATTGTCATACTTTGAGCCTCGAAGGACTTATCTACTTACCGCCGGCTCTGAAATCCTCATGGAGAATCAGAGCCACAGCGCCGAAATCAGTGGGGATCTGATGCACATGGGCTGCAGCCCGCAGGTCGTCGACGTCGTGGCGCAGATAACCAGACTTGCAAACACAAAGCGCGAACACCGACAATCGGGTAATTCGTCGGCCAATTTTGAAGTCTGGTCTTATGAACGCGGTTTGGCCATTCGTGCCCGACTGGACTCCATATCCCATCAAGGGTCTTCGTATCTGGTTAGTTGCGCCGAATGCTTCAAGATAGCAGCGCAAATGTATCTGCGGCATGTCATCTTCGATGCACCTCTGGGCAGCACAGAGTTGCAAAACCTATTACAGCAATTCTTCCATCAATTCGCAGAGATACGCTATGAAGCAAGGACCCTGTTTCCAATGTGGCCTCTCTTCCTCGCTGGATGCATGTCCACAACAGACGAAGAACGCAAAACGGTCTTACGCTACTTTGAAACGGTTGCCGTTTTCTGGCCCGTCAGCAATGTCCCACGGGTCCGGGAGTCTGTGGAAGCAGTCTGGAAAGCCAGAGACCTCGGCTCTGGCACTAGAGATTCCCTCGACTGGCAAAAAGCCATCGACAGATTGGGATGGAAGTTGGCACTTTCGTGATGGAGTTTGGGTCGCAGGATGTTTCCAAGTCAGTTGGTTTGTTTCATCATGTTCTCGCATTACCCGGCGCTGTTACATATACCACTCGTTGATTCTTTCTAAGACGAAGACCACAAATAACGATCTACAACTTCGCGCGCACAAGATCTTTGAGGTCTCTTGTCGTACCCACACGCCAGCTTGCAACTTCGGCGCCCTGCTGCGTCTGATCCTTCCACTGCCACCGCTCTACTCTCTTTCCCTCCAGTAACTCTTTGACCCATTTGCCGAATACAGGCAGGAATTTCAGGCCGTGCCCAGAGTCTCCGGACAGGACAATGAGAGATTCCGATGTTTTTGGGACGTAGTCGACAATGAAATCAGTGTTCTTGGTGTCGGCGTACCAACAAAGCTTCGTATCCACGAAGGGGCGATCAGCCAGCTCCGGCAATGTCTCGGCCAGGAGCCTGCGCAGCTGACGCTCGTCCTCTGGTGGGATGAAAGCGCTGTCAGCGATCTGTTGCGGTGGGATTGAAACACCAGAACTCGAAGTGTTTGTGAAGCCAGCGCCCATCGGACAAAGCTTCAGCAGCCTGGTAGCCGGGTCTGGCTCGAAGAAGAACCCAAGGTCTCTAGCATACGTTACGGGGATGCCGCGGAGAGCGGACGCCTCGTCTTCAGTCAGCTGGACATGCGCGACCGACCAACTCCGAGCCTCGACTTGCTTGCCCGCCGAGGGAAGGATGGTGGAGACGTTGGCGCCGAGAGCGACAATGACGGTCGCGGCTTCGTGGACGCGGCTGGCGGTCCGCACGCCTGTGCATCTGCCCGAGGAGTCGTGCACGAGCTCTTTCACCGCGCCGTCTCGCTCGCCGAGGAAGAACTTGACTCCCCGCGCGACGCACGCTTCGTGCGCGGCTTTCAGCGCGTTGCTGGAATGCGCGTACCCGGCTACCCGGTTGAAGTAGCCCGTCCACCCCGAAAGCGCGCCGTGCTGGTACTGCCATACCAGCGAGCTGACGTCTTTGGAGCTGCGGATCGGCATCACGGCGTCTTTGAAGATGCTCTTTCCGGCCAGCGACTTGACGGATTTCTGGAGCGTCGCCCTGGCCTTTTCGGGTGCTGCCGAGGTGATGCAGTTCAGGTAGCCCGTCTGGTGGTAGTGCGGGGCGAAGAGCGGTTTCCTCCAGCCTTCTATCGCTTCCTGGGACGGTCAGTTTTGTCTCATTTGGGAATAGAAAGCCAGAGTTCACTTACGAGTGCCAAGTCGACGTAGAACGGATCATCGTACTCGGCTCTGATGATCTTGTTCACGTCGTAGGCGGCCGAGAAGCGAGACGGGATGCGGCTGTCTTTTTCGAAGACGGTGATGTCGGTGTATCCAGCGTCTGCCAGATGCAGAGCCGAGGAAAGACCAAAAACACCTGCGCCGACAATGGCGATGGGCCGGGTTTTGGAGGTAGGCGGAGCCATTTGGTCAGTATTGTAACGATTGACGAGGGCTCGGTGGTGATTGGAAGAGGAGTAGAGAAGTGGACTGGAGCGGAAAGACTGCTGCCGGTCTTTAAGACTGGCAAACCTTGTGGTCGTACGTTGAGGATCATGTTTGGAAGGTTAGCCTATGCGCCGCATTGCCCCGGCTTATCGAGGGTCGTGGGGCCTGGGGGTTAGCGCAGCCGCCCCCATGGCGTCACGGGGTGGGGCACGAGACAACATCCGAGCTTCGGCCACAACACCTAGGAAAATCCAGATCCCTCACGACGCCCACGGCTCAACAGCGCGCACATGATCATGTTCAAACATCAATTCATTTCCGTCTAACTAATCCTTAGCCCTGCTTCTCGTTGCTGGGATACGCCACCCGGTCTAGCGGCATAAACTCCTCCTTGATAGTTCTCGGGCTCGTAAACCGCAGCAACAAGTTAGCGCTGCCAGCCTTGTCATTCGTCCCGCTCGCACGCCCTCCACCAAACGACTGCTGCCCGATGACCGCTCCCGTCGTCTTGCAGTTGATGTAGAAGTTGCCCGCCGAGTACTTGAGCGTCTCTTCGGCTTCGCGGATTGCGTCCCTATCCGCCGCAAACACGGCTCCTGTCAGAGCGAATCCGCCACCCCGCTCGTCGATGCTCTTCATGATGCCCTTCCAGTCCTCGTCCGGGTAGACGTGCAGCACGAGGACTGGCCCGAAGATTTCGCTGTCGAAGAGGGCGTGGTCAGCGTCCTCGGTCAGGTACACAGTTGGCTTGATGTAAAAGCCCTTGGAGTCGTCGTAAGTGCCTCCAGTGATGCGCTGGAGCGTCTTGTCGTTGTTGCTGCTATCGATGGTTCGCTTTATCTTTTCGAACGCACCCCGGTGGATTACAGGACCCAGGAAGTTTTCGAATTCGGCTGGATCGCCAATCTGAAGAGCTTCCGTCTCTGTCTTCAACCGCTCGATGAAGGGCTTCGCGAGGCTCTTTGGAATGTACGCTCGAGAGCATGCCGAGCACTTTTGACCTTGATACTCGAATGCCGCTCTGATGGTGTGGTTGACTGCGCTCTTGACATCCGCCGACGGGTGCAGGAGATGGAAATTCTTGCCACTGGTCTCGGCGACTAGACGCGGGTAGCTGACATACTTCTTGTCGACCACGCCCTTGGAGATTTCTCCATACAAGGTTCTAAACACGTCTGACGAGCCGGTGAAGTGCAGGCCAGCAAACTGCTTGTGCGCAAGCACCGTCTTGGTTATTTCGGCTGCGTCGCCAGTGACGAATTGGATGACGTTTGGTGGAAGACCGGCTTCCAGGAGGATTTGGTACACAAGGTAGCTTGCGTACGCCGACGATGGCGAGGGTTTCCACACTACGACGTTTCCGAGGAGCGCCGGTGCTGACACCAGGTTTCCTCCAATGGCAGTGAAGTTGAAAGGCGAAACCGCGTACACAAAGCCCTCGAGCGGTCGGTACTCAGTGCGACTGCAAAGTCAGCTTCATTCAGCATCGCGAGAGAGAAGCGCTTACCTCCAAATTCCAGGCGCGTTGAGCGTGGGTTGACGCTCTAGCAACTCCTGCGCATTTCCAGCGTTGAACCGGTAAAAATCGGCAAGCTCAGCGGCAGCATCAATCTCGCCCTGCCAAGCGTTCTTTCCCTGCCCAAGCATTGTAGCTGCAATCAGCTGGTTGCGGTACTTCCCAGCGACGAGCTCCGCCGCTCTGAGGAATATAGCTGCACGATCGGCAAACGGTTTTGATTCCCAGGCCGGCTTTGCCGCCAGCGCGGCCTCAATTGCGGAAGAGACCTGCTCCGGAGTCGACTGCGGCACTCGCGACAGGACGGTTGCATGGTCGGATGGTATAATCTGGTCCTCCAATTTGGAGCTTGTCGCCTTTGATCCTGCGATGTGCGCGGAAACGGACAATGGCAAGCTCTTTTTGAGGGAATCAAGCGCATCTTTCAAGGCAGTGCGCTCTGGAGAACCGGGGGCATAGTGAAGCTGCCAAGGTCAGTGAAGATTCGAGTGTAAACGCAGCAGACTTACATTGGGTTCATTCCTGCCTGCAGGGACTTTGTAGGAGTTGAGCCTCACAGCGGCGCGAGGGAGCGAGCGCTTGGAAGCAGCGCGAAAAGCCAGTGTCCTTGTCGAAATCATCATTATTGTGGTAGTTGAAGTCGAAAACATCCGCATCTCAGAGCGAGAAGAGCACGCATATGTCGGGGATTATTTCTCCAGCCGTCACGGCGGAAGCGCTAACCGCAAGGCAAAGCCATGCACGTCGTTGATCCACCGGCGGGTGCGCTAACCGCACCATGGCTTCCATGCGCCGGATCGCCACCCGGCGGCTGCGCTAACCACTGCGCACGCCTCGCGCTACCCCACACTGTCGGGCTGCGCTTCGTTATCGCGGGAATGTTGGTCGCCAAGGCCTGGGGTTTGCCGTTGCCTATCTGCCTCGGGCGCCGGGGCCTTCCTTGTGTAGTGAAGAGACTGATGCTTTGTGATACGCCTCTTTGCGGGGAAATCGAGGTTTGGACGAGCACTTGAAAAATGAAGCCCTCGCCGCTTGCAATTGAATTGCTCTTCACTCTTCTCTCGACCTTTGCTCTTTCTTTGTCATCATGCATCAACCGAGCGAGACACCGCTGGCTGGCTCTGTACCTTCCGCACACTTGAAGGACCCGGAGAAGGGCCTTTCCAAGCCCCTCAGCCGTACCAACACCGCTGCTTCCGTAACCGAAGGAACCGTTGCCAATGAAGGATATGGAGAGTACAAAGCCGTGTTCCAGACGGGTGCAACTCAAGTTATCTCTCTGGGAAGTAACATGGGAAGCGGTCTGTTCGTGGCAACAGGCAAAGCTCTATTCATCGGTATGCACACACTCCTCCGCAGCTCCAAGGGGCTTGCTAACCGCATTAGCTGGACCGGGTGCCATGATCTTCGGATACGGCTTCGTGACGATACTGGTCTTCTGCGTGCTTCAAACGCTGGCCGAAATGACCATTGCTTTTCCGGTGTCTGGAAACCTCATCGACTACGCCGATAGATGGGTAGACCCTGCTCTGGGATTTTCTGCTGGCTTTGCTCTGTGGCTTGGTAGGTACTGCTCCAAGTATTCTTCGGCGCTTTGCTGATTTTTGCAGGCTGGGTTGCTGTGGTCGGTTCCGAGGCAACAGTGTCTGTCATCCTGATCAACTTCTGGGCCGATGGAGCCGTTCATCAGGCAGTGTGGTGTAAGTTCAACCTGACATCTTTTAAAGCGAGAGACTAATGCTGGCAGTATCGCTGTTCCTTGTCTTCGTCTTCACGTTGTTTTGCCTTCCAAGTCAATACTTCGCCTGGTTCGAGTACGTGACGTCGTTGATCAAAATCGTCGTCTTCCTCATCTTCATCGTCACATCGATTGCCATCGTCTGCGGTGCTGGCCCGACCGGAAAAGTTCATCATGGAGAGACATGGATAGAACACCCTACGTTCAAGGGCGGGTTTTCGGTAAGCTTCTCTCCACCGCACGAGTCGCCGGATGTAAGGCTTACAAGTACAGGGCGTTGGCAACGCGATGATGCTCGCCGTTTGGGCCTGTGGCGACCAGATCTTCATCGGCATGATGGGCGCAGAAGCAGTTTTCCCGCGCATGGCCATGGGCAGGGCCGCCCGAATGGTCACCGGCCGTGTCATTGGCGTGTACATGAGTGCATTGGCCTTGATTTCGGTGCTGGTTCCTTCCGATGACTCGAGGCTCTTTGGCGGCAGCGGCGCCGCTGCTTCTCCTTTTGTCATTGCGGTTGAAAATGCCGGCATCAAGGGACTGCCTCACTTGCTCAACGCAGTCATCCTCATCGCGGCTGTGAGCATGGCGTGCGAAAGCATCTTCATCGGCTCTAGAGCGCTTCGAGCGTTGGCTCTGCAGGGGCTTGTGTCGACGCATTTGGCCAATGTGGACACCAGTGGCCGTCCCAGAGCATCACTGGCCATTACTGCGATGGTGTCGGTTGCTTTCACTTACATCAATCTTAGCAGTAAGTCTACCCCAATGTTTCCGAGTTTTTTAACTTACATTTTCAGGCACTGGTGCGGTTATTTTCGGATGGTTCGTCTCGATTACCTCTTCCTCTTTCTTCTGCATGTGGATTATCCTGGCAATCACATCTTGGAGGTTCCGCAAAGCCCTCAAGGTGCAAAACGATCCGTTGTTTGATCGTGTGTATGCATGGAAGTGTACTGCGTGGCCATTTACTCCTCTGTGGCTGTTCCTTGGTTGCATGGTGCTGGTAGTCGCTTGCATTTACATCGGCATCTATCCAAACGTTAGTCACAGCCCTCCCGGAGCAACTTGAAGTCCCGAGCTGACCATTTTTTAGGGTTCTTCCGATGAAGTTTCCGTCACAAGCTTCTTTCAGAGCATGATCGGTTTGATCCTGATTATTGCGAGCTATATTGGCTATAAGCTCATCTTCAGAACGAGATACCGCAATTCTGCTTCCATGGACTTGATTACCGGTCGGAGAGATCTTAGCGCAGATGAGATAACCCAGCTGGACAAGTATTACTCAAAGCCCTTGTGGCGACGGTTCCTAACATACCTACAACTGTGGTAGAGAAAGTCGGGAGATGGATTTATATTTGGCGTTTACATGTAGATACCAGCTAAGTGATTTGATTTTGATCTGGGAGTGTAGATATTTCAAGGTTCTTAAAGTTCATGGGCAGAACGGAGTCTCATCCGATTCTCGGAAGTGGACCCGATGGTGCCGATGCTACGGAACCTAGCCATGAGCGCAATCCTATCCAAACAACAACGATAACCGGCGACGCTAAGCTTTAGGTCATGGTGGAACCTAGGCTGGCAAAGGGAGCTTGGGCCATGATGGTGCATATATATGACCTCGTGGCCCAGACTTGCTCTTCCGCTTTCTAGTCTCTACCGCCTCCAGTACCACCACCATGGCCGAAAAATACACTCACCAGACCAGCATCGACACGGATAAACCGAAAACTGGCATGCAAAACCTCGTCTCTAACCTTGCTGCCGACGCTCTCGCAGCAACATGCGCTGCCACACTGCTCGCGCCCATAATAACAGTAATCGACAAGTAACAATGGCCCCGCTCCCCGAGATTAGAGATGCAAAATACTCACGCCTCACAGGTCAGTAGTAGAAAGCACAGCGCACGGCATCCCGCTCCAACAAAGCTGGCGCAACACCCTCAGCACCATTCTCCGCCGGCCGGGCTTCCTCCTCTCAAAGCCCTTCCTGATCATGCACGGGCTCTACCTGTCCACGTACATGACGGCCAACACGTGCGACACGATCCAGTCTCTCTCAGACACCAGCGGCACTATGGGCGCCACGACCAAGTTCGCTGCCGTCTCCATCGTCAACATGTCCTACGGCATCTACAAAGACACGCGCTTCGCCGCCATGTTCGGCCCGCGCGCTTCAACCGCTGCTGCTGCCGGCGTCGTCGCGCCCCGCCGCCCTGTCCCGCTCCCCGCGCTTTCGGCCTTCTTTGTCCGCGACACCATCACCATCTTTGCCTGCTTTAACTTGCCGCCGCTCCTCGCGCCCTACGTCCCTGATGCGCTCGCTGAGTCGCCCCAGGCAAAGCGCAATCTTACCCAGTTGCTGTGTCCTGCCGCCATCCAGCTAGTGAGTACGCCGCTGCATTTGGTCGGCCTGGATTTGTATAACCGGCCGCTGGGGCAGGAGAGCGTGGGGCTGGCGCAGCGGTTGAGCTTGATCCGGAGGCATTGGGGCGGCGCGTGTCTGGCGAGAATTGGCAGGATTGTTCCGGCGTTTGGGATTGGCGGCATTGTAAACGCGAATTTAAGAGAGAAATGGAGAAGTGGGTAGGTGGGAGCGGAATTATTAGGAGTTGAGATTAATGAGTATACGGCGAACTATGTAGAGCGGAGAGGGAAATTAGATATCCAGATTAAACCGCCTGATCCAACGACTGCGCTTTGCACATCTCGTAGTACATCCCGCCCTTGTCAACGAGTTGTTTGTGGGTTCCGGACTCAGCGATCCTGCCTCCGAAGAAGACAAAGATACAGCTTGCGTCTTTGATCGTGCTTAGCCTATGCGCAACTGCGACAGTAATTCTTTTCTCTTGGCTCGCAGCATCTGAAAGCGCTGTCTGTACGACACGCTCGCTTTCTGTGTCGAGAGCAGATGTGGCTTCATCCAACAGAAGGACCTTGGGGTTTCGAATCAGAGCACGCGCGATGGCGATGCGCTGTCGTTGGCCACCGGAGAGAGAAGCTCCGCGGGAGCCACATAGAGTGTCGAGGCCTTCGGGGAGGGAAGCGATGAAGTCGTAGATGTTGGACTGTCGGCAAGCTTCAAGGATGCGCTCCTCAGAGGAGTCTTTGGCATCTTCAAGGCCGAGAGAGATGTTTTCCCGAATGGTACCCTGGTAGAGGGTTGGTTCTTGTTGAACGAGTGCCATCTGCCGACGATACAAGCGGGGATTCATGGACGCGATGTTCTTTCCTAGTTGTACCGCACCGGACGTAGGATCGTAAAAACGTTCGAACATTGAGATCATGGTGCTCTTGCCGCAACCGGATCCACCGACCAAAGCGATAAAGTTGCCGGGTTGGATCTGTAACGTTAGAATAATATCAATAATTTAGAAAATCGACACAACCTACACTTATTGAGATACCACGCAACACTTTTGTGTCGTGTCTAGTAGGATACGAGAACCGGACATCGTTGAGGACCAACGGAGCATCAGCATCTGGACCGATGTCTTTATTTTCATCCGTCTCGGTCACGACGGGCTTCAATGACCTCAACCACCAGATGTAATTCCCAGCAGAAATAGCTTTGGTGATGCCTGTACTTGTTAGATATAGCTAAATATAAAGTTGAATTACTTACTGGTCGTGTACATAAAAAATTGGGCTGCCGCTTGCCCGCTGAGGAAAACACCAACAAACACAATGAAGAACTGGTGCATGCTGTATTCTCTAGTAGAAACGAGCCGAGAACCATACCTGGGGTGGTTAGAGCGTGTAATTTTTCGTAGCTGCGATTAACATACCAGAAACCAAGAGCAAGAACCAAAAACTCTATGGATTGCGAGAGGGCGAACCAAAACATGGAATGTATGATTGAGGGAATGGACACACGAACGATGCCATCCACGCTTAGTCGGTAGTTTTCCAAGACCCTGCGTTCGAGTGCAAGCGAAGAGACGGTGCGAATGGCTCCGACGGCCTCACCAGCGAGAGCAGCGCTGTCGGCAAATCGCTTTCCGGTGTCGTTGTTCATTTTGGCTTCGAGCCGCATCCGTACAAGCCCAGCGCCGACCAAAGGAGGTAGACCGCCGAATATTACGACAAGACCAAGCTTCCATCCGAAAGAAAGACCAAGAATGCTGCTCGCAATGACATTAATGAAGACAATGATGATGATAGACAGGTTGAATCCCATTAGCTCCTGCAGTTGAGTGGGTTGCGAAGATAATCGACTGGTCAGAGCACCAGTGGTGTTTTCGGCACGATCGAAGAACTGGATGTCCTGTCGAAGAAGTGCATCCAACATTTCTCTCCGGTAGAAATGAGTTAAGGCCTAAAATTAGCAAGACCATACTGATATAGAGATGCTGAAGACTTACTTGGCTCACAACATTGCTACACCAGCCGAGGATAAAGTAGACTATCAGGTTGGCGAGAGCGATGATGAAGAATATGAGAGAAAAGAAATCGCCCTGTTTAGTGAGTTCCTTGCCGGTGTAGGTGAAAACATCCATGAGTTCAGCCAGGACCACTGCTTGGGCAGGATAAACAGCACCTATTGTTGTTAGCGTTGTCTGAGTAAGGAACAGAACAACCAACCTCCGACGCAGCATGTGATAAATATGAAGCCGAATAAAGGCCAAAGGGTCCGCTGTTCTCCGAGAATTTTTCCTACGACCCAAAACATGCCGTGCTCTTTGAAATGGCTGTAATCGAGGCCTGATTGCTGTTCCGCGACATGCGCAACCTCGTTCGAGCTCACAGTCTCAACCAGGTCGTTTTCTGATTCACTTCCAGACGAGTTTTCGAGAAGCCCAGGTTGAGTTTTGGCCTCAAGACCCTGTGCTTGAACGAGTCGGGCGTAGGCACCATCTTTTGCAAGCAAATGTTGATGGTTGCCTTGCTCGATGACTTCACCCTTGGACATGACGACAATGTTATGCGCATTCTTGACGGTAGCAAGTTTGTGGGCAATTACGATGGTTGTACGATTAGCGGCTGCCCGATCAAGAGCGTGTTGGACAATTGTTTCGGAATGGGGGTCAAGTGCGCTGGTGGCTTCGTCCAGGAGGAGGATTTCTGGATCGGAAACAATGGCTCGGGCTATGGCGATACGCTGTTTTTGCCCGCCAGACAAGAGACCGGCCCTCTCACCGACATGTGTGTCGTAGCCCTGTAGTTTACATGTTAGTGTGGAAAATAATTAGTGTGAAAACTATTGGTACCTCTGGCAGTTCCGAGATAAAGTCATGAGCGTTAGACAGTTTACAGGCTTCGATGACTTGAAGTAACTGCTGTTCCCGTGGAGCGTTCTCCCACTTGGTTCCCGTCAAGCCATTGCGGACATTTCCAAATACTGTGTCATTAAACAAAACAGGTTCCTAACATGTTAGTCTTCGAAACTTGATACTAGGGCTCTGCGTACCTGCTGCACTAGTCGCATCCTAGTCCTCAACCAGTTGACATTGAGACACTCTATTCGATGACCGTCGAGTGTGATCGTGCCCCCATTTGGGTTATACCAACGTTCCAACAAACCAACAACGGTGGACTTGCCACTGCCACTCGCGCCTACCAAAGCAGTTGTCTTTTTGGCCGGGAATGTCAAGGAGAATTGTTTCAAGACCCTGACATTTGGTCTCGTGGGATACGAAAAGTCGACATGTGAAAATTCGAGGTTGCCGATGGCTTGTTCGGGCTTTGTTCCGTTATCGCCAAGGGGGTTTACCAGGGATGGGCGATCGATAGTGTCGAATAGAGCTGAAGCGGCGGAAGCGGCGTTTGCGAATGCAGTAAAGTAAGGCGATATTTGTGTGAGCGATGTAGAAGCGATAACGACAGAGAACAGAACACTAAAAATCAGCAAGGCTCGAGAAGAGATTGGTAAACTTACGTGACAATGGTACCAGGCCCATCGATTTCTCCCTCAGCGAACATGTGAACTCCACGCCAGAAGCAGAGAGAGAATCCAGCATAGATGAGGAAGAATTCGGTACAGTATAAGACACCCCAAAGCGCCGACTTGGTCTTGCCTCTTCGGTGCGCCTCTGCAAGATACCCATCATACTTTGCTGTAAGGTGCGGTCGCATCCAAAAAGCTTGAACATTTCTTACAGAGGAGATAACATCTTCAGCAAGGGCTGCAGCCTGCCCATAAATGTCCAAGATTCCCGACTCGATCTTGGCGTCAATGCCTATTGCAATACCGACTACAATGACAATAACCGGAGCAATGGTCATTGTAATGAGCGTCAACTTCCACTGTGTGATAAGAGCGACGATTATGGCTGCTACGCAGGTTGCGGTCGCTTGGATAACAAGGCCGAGTTTTTCGGAAATGCCCTGTTGAATGAGATTCCCGTTTGTGGTGACACGGACCGAGACGGATCCCTTGTTCTCATCGAAATATGCAATGTCTTGTGAGAGAGTCGCCTCGAGGAAGTGCTGGCGTATGTTTCGAGTAATGCGCGTTCCAGTTATCGTCAAGCAAACCGTGAAGACGTAGCTGCAAACGAAGCGACCGACGAAGACGTAAACGAAATTCAGGGTGGCGCTGCTGATGTCGTGGCGAAATTCCTGAGGAGTGCTTCTGCTCGCTGTGAAGTCTTGAATGATGTTGACAAAGTTGCCAAAAAGCAATTCGATCATAGCTAATGCGACGCCGGAACCTATTGCAGCAACTAATCCTACAGCGTTGAGCAGCCAATCTGCTGATTCAGAGTAGGAGAAGATGCGCTGTTACAATTAGTCAAGTAAAGAGGACATGAGAGAGAGGACCCACCGTGTATATCGCCAGCGCCCCGGTTTCCTTTTCGCCATGCACAGTGGCACTGCCTTTTTCCGATACCTCGTCCATATCGAAGAAACTGAATGACACGACAAGACGAACCGCAATGCGCAATGAAAAAGAGCAAGGGTATTATGAGAGTCTTTAACATAATGTCGCGTAGGTAGCCTGGTAGTGCGGAACCCGCGGGTTCCGCGGCCGCCACGGATGCCGAGCTAGCCCGCGCTAAAATTGCCGCGGATGCCACGGTGACTCAATTCAAAACATCGGCATCGCTATCCAGATTGAGCATGTCAGTGACAGGCCTGTTGGTTCCAAGCCAATTGCCAAGGAATGCTGATATGTCCATGCCGCTCATATCAAAGTCAGCCATTCCCCCGGGCCAGGCAAGATCTCCGGTAGCTATAGCTTCACCGGAGAAAGGAGAGAGGACAAGGGAGCCATCATCTTGTCGATGGACTCCATCGACTTTCTTCTGCGAGCGACTTATAACTTCGGCAGTGTTGAGGAAAGCTTTGCAGACGTCAAAGAGACGACGAACGCCGCTATTTACCTCCTTGAGCTGGTTTAGAGCGTTCACAGTCTCGCGCAAAAGAGTGATATCGTCCTCGTCAAACGTGGCCATGGCGTGGGTGAAGACAATAACGTAGGGGGCGAAAGAGCAGTAGAGAACGATCCTAGATGGTCAGCTTTTGGAGTAGTGGGGATGGAATCATGAATATGTACCAATTGATAAAAATAGCGAAGACATACCAGTTGACAAAATCAATCGTCCGGAAATGGTTTTCGCCGGGCACGAAATGCTCGAAAGTTTTCAGATGAGCCCGTAGACTTAGCCTGGCGGCTTCGTAGCATTGGGAACTGATTTCGGTGGCATGGCTGGTAGAAGTTTGGGCGCGATAAATCATCGTGAGAACAGAATAGTACATGAAATCGGTGGATATCATAAGGCATTCGAGGGCATCTCTGAAGTAAGAGTTGGAGATGTCAACCTGCGGAGGTTAGAAATGAATAGGTAATGAAGAGAAACATACAGAGCAAATTTGATCACGGGTCTGAAGGAGTTCTGTGGCAAGTTGTTCTACAATTGAAGCTTTTTTTGTTGGATGCTGAGTGACGGCGGAAGCGGAATACAACTGATCATAGACTTTGCCTTGAATGCGAGCGAACCCGACTGATGCGAGGTTGAGGATGTCCCATGGGGCTTGTTTTGGGTTCTTTGATATGGAAAATAATTCACAATCAATATCGTAATCTTGGAAACTCGACGTTCGGCCAGTATTGAGAGAGAGGTTCTTTTCCATGAGGTAGAGGAACCAAAACGCATGGCGCTTTGCTTCAGCAACGGGGTGGGGGTCATTTTGAAGGAACGACTTGCGATGGATGCCCATTGTTTGGCACAGGGTGTGGGCGGCGGCGAGATAAGTCCAACAGAGGGAAAGTTTTGCCTTTTCTTGAGCTCTGCAGGCCTATGGAGGTTAGATAAAGCATTAAAATGACGGAGCGACCTACTCCAAACATAAGGACTTGAACATTTTCCAAGGTTGGAATGGCGAGAGTCTCATAGGTGGATAGAGCGCTGGAGAAATTTCGTTCGCAAAGTTCGGCGTAGGCGGCACAGTCAAATTGTTCGGTTAAAGGGTCATGGGCGGATATCAAGTCAGAAACGATATAAAATACTAGGGCTTGGAGAAGAGCAACGGAGCCAGAAGGAAGGGGTTCCGAAGGAAAATAGATTTTGCGACAAAGCTTTTCCAAGAGAAGTGGGTCCGTGAAGGAGTAACACACTATAACGAACGAGGGAGAAGCTGGGAGCGTTAGTAAAGAAGAGGAAAGGGGGAAGGCTAACTCATACCTTTAATCCGCTTGACGACAGCCACGACGAAGTCAACAGGCGGGAGGTTTTGTTCTTGGGGAGAAGGATTGGAGTTATGGGGTGTAAGGTAGGCTTCATAGGCGCGGGGTGTTTGAAGGCTGTTCCTCAAGGAAGCCAGGACCGTGGCTACTTCGTCAGTGTTGATAGCAGCCGCAGTCATATCGGCGGCTTCTCTAGCTTGGATGGTTTGCGAGGCAAAAGAGGATTCGCCTTCAAATGGAGAGGTTGTTGTTTCTGGGGTGTCCTGGGCAGAGGCAGGTGGAACGGTGAGAGGGGCAGAAGGTGAATGAGAAAGGTTCCGGATGCTATGCTCGATGGATCTCAGGCGTTCCTGGATCAGCTCGAGCTGCTTCTCACTAGCAGGTATGAGAGTATATCCGGGATGAGAAGGTTGTAGACGTACTACTGGCTAGAGATGATGACGCGGGGACGGTGCTCGGTTGCTCTTGAGGCAGCCTGACAGGCAACACCAAGGGTTTTACAGCTGGAGCAGGGAATTGTCTTGTCGCAGCGGATCTGTGTCTCCGTCAGATATGGAAATATGGGATCGATGGGGTCGGCGGGGAGGATACCTTTCGAACGCGGCAGTTTTCACACTGGGACAATCAGCGGAGGAGGAGGGCAAGGCGAGGGACGGTCAGGGACGGCGACTCACGGCGCGCGAAAGAAAGGAGCCGCGCTGACTAGATTGAGGCGTCTCGGACATTGTGAAAGGCAGCGTTGAGGTAGGAGAGGTTGTAGCCTGGCGGCGAACATGAAGTTAGGTACGTCGGTGCGCGCGGTGGTCCGCTCCGCTCCGCGTTCCGCCCCCGCTTTCCGCTCTTGGCCCACCATTCCGCCATCTTCCGCCCAGACCAAGGCGAGCCATCACGGGCAAGGATCATTGGGACAAATGGATGGCAACCTATGTTCGACCTCGCAGGTATTGACACCTCCGAATTTCCCTCGATATACTGCAGATAGTTATCTGTCTTAACGGAACTTGGAAGGTCTGGGTATCTCTGCAAACTAACGTTATTAGGTATCCCTAGCGGTCATGGAGGAAGCGGTTATCTAACCTTAAAGAGATGGTGCTGCGCCCCATGAGGTGAGTCCAATTTTACAGTCGTGCAACGAAAGTCACTCCCGATAAATAGCCTTCTGTTCCCGTCGCTTTTCCAAGTCTCTCTTGATTTCATCGACGAAATCTTAACAACAAATTCAAATTACACACTGAAAACATACCTTAACCGCGACCATGCTTGGCTTCTGCGCTGCTCCTTCATTTCTCCCGGATCGGGACATACCCGATCTTAGCGGAAAGGTTGTCATTGTGACTGGAGGCAATGCTGGACTAGGCTTCGAGACGGTGCGACAACTCGCAAAGCACAACCCCGCGCGCATCTATCTTGCCGCGCGATCCAAGGAGAAGGGCCAAGCGGCCATTCAGCAACTGAAAGAGTCCGAAGGGAATATCGCGCCGATTACCTTCCTAAGCCTAGATCTGTCTTCGTTTGAGAGCATCAAGGCGGCTGTCCAGGCATTCCAGGCTTGCGAGTCTCGTCTCGACATTCTCATCAACAATGCCGGGATCATGATGACGGCTCCAGGCCTTACCAAAGAGGGCTATGAAATTCAGTTCGGAACCAACGTTATGGGCCACGCTCTGTTCACGCAGCTCCTTTTGCCCACGCTCCAGGAAACGGCCAAGATCAACCCCGATGTCCGCGTCGTCACTTTGTCTTCGGCCTCTGAGGCCATGGCCCCGGCCGATTTGTATCCCTTCGATGAGTTCAAAACAACCATGCTTGAGCGCAATACCACAGCGCGCTACTGTATTTCCAAGCTCGCCAATGCACACTACACCTCCGCCATCGCCGAGCGACACAACGACGTCAAGTTCATCTGCGTGCATCCCGGGATGGCGGCAACAAACCTTCACCATGAGTCAACAGGCGTCTTCCTCAAGCCGTTCCTCGATGTTGCCGTTTGGGCTTTTGCGTCGACGGTTGAAAAAGGTGCCTTGAACCAGCTATGGGCTTCTATCAGCCCAGATGCAAAGACTGGAGAGTTCTATTCTCCAGTCGGAATACCTGGAAAGGGCTCCGAGCGCGTTCAAGATCGCGAACTACAGGAGCAGCTGTGGAGTTGGACTCAGGAAGAACTTAAGTCGCATATCCAGTAGTACCTTCTCGTTATTTAGGCATAATGACATCAAGTTCTCATAGCCACTACTTTACACGTCATTCCGTGACGGCCAGCAACCGAGTCTGTCAATCTGTCGAGATACGATGTTGGCCCATGCGCCTTCGACATATAGTACCTGTTGTGCAACAGGAGTCGCTCGGAACCCCGCAATTGATTCCCTAGCAACCGGGTTTTTACATCGAGTGCTAATGCAACAGCTGCCACGAATCATACTCCGAGGCAAGCTTCAGGTAGGACGATGAGGGGTAATTTACACAAGATAATGCAGTGAAGCGCCTAGGATCGTACGCATATCGCTTAATTAGACGAGGCGAGTTATTTGATCGGAGCACGAGCACAGGATAGGAAGAAGATGCAACTAATGTTACCTAAAGTTCCGGTTGTCGTTACAATCGCGTCATTTTTGATGTTCGGGAAGAGAGATGATCACACAGCGAGGATTGGCGCTGACGCCGGAGTACGTATAAAAAGTCCTCAAATATCTACCATCCTATGGAACAAACTCAGACGTGCGGACTCAGACATCAGAAGAGATTATACCCCTCACACCTTTTGCCAACCATGAAGTGCAGTCTCATGCTCATCGCCTTGTTCGCCGCCACAGGGTTCTGTTCACCAAGATTTCAAACTCTGTTGGAAGAAGATGACGATCGCTGTACGCACTGGTGTTTCCCTGGAATACCAGATTGCGGAGAAGAAGGAGTGAGGCATGGCCCTTGCGAACTGTAAACCAGGACTTAGCTAACCGCCGTAATACAGGTACCAGAGAGGCGCGGGGTACAATGCCTAGGCTTATAGTAGAAAAAAACTAGTGGCTAACAGTTTTAGAAATCTCCATTTATTTGCTTTGTCTGCTGTGCCAAGGAAGACGAGAACAAGAGCCAGGAAAAAACCAAGAATATTATATGTAAGTCGTTAAAGTACTACCGGATGGCATATAAGAAACTAATTGTTATAACTAAAGGGATCTAGTCGACATCTTTACTCCGGCAGAACAATCGAAGTTCGATTACAAATTGGAGTAAAGACGTTATATATAAACAATGCAAGCTGATTACTAGCGAAAGTATGCCATCGAATTCCGATGCGTATCATGCCGTTGTCTTATAACTCTGTTCCGCCCATCTCTTGTATACGGGTGAAGATAGGCATTAGGCAGGATGAATTATTTATGAAACATATAGTCACTGTCTTACTTGTGTTTCCGCAAGCAAACTGTCGAGCCCACCTGACCCGGTATGGTTTTCTAAGCTAATACCACTTTCTCGCAGCTTTACAGAACGTCTAATTCTATTATTGACTACTTTAACAATGAAAATGCTAATTTATTAAACAAGTAAGTGGCGATCCATTTATTTCGGCTATAATACAGCGCTGAGACTTCAACCAACCTAAAGCTACTTTGATACAGGCCTTTTATCCCATTTTCTCGACAAGACCGTTGAAACCAGCCTACCAAGCGAAAAGCTCAATCGTTACCCAGCAGCATATTTCGACATGGCGCGAAGCTTCGCACCAAAAAGGTAGAAGACGAACGGAGCCGGGACGCCAATAGCGATGCTAATGAAAGCCAAGACGCTGGAGCCCCACCCGTAATCCAGGCGCTCGTACAAGTACGGAGCGAAGAGGGGAAACCCAAATCCCGCCAGGCTACGAAGGACAACGACAGCAGCAAGGCCACTGGCGGCAAAGCGCGTATAGCTGTCAATAACATAGCCTTGCATGCTCTGCAAGCAGACGATGGTGCCGGCCGCAAAGATAGCGATGCCGATGTTCGGCATGATCCAGTGAACATGGCCTTGCACACTCCAGCCGTACCAGAAAAGGCCGACGGGGATGAACGCGGAGCCGACGAACATGGACGGGACGCGGAACTCGGGCAGGCCCACGCCGTCGTTCTTCTCTTTCAGGCGGCGGTAGATGCGGTCGACGAAGCGGAGGTTCACCTGCACGCCCAGAATGCTGCCCACGCCCAGCGAGATGAAGTTCAGCCCGCCGATACCCAGACTCTCCCCGTACACTTCACTCCACACGACCGGGAACGTCACCGTGATGAGGTATGTCAGCCCGAACAGGTACGCCATGTACAGAGCGACGAGCTGCACGATGGGCTGGGTGGCAAGCATGCGCGAGGGGCGCAGCAAGGCGTCGCCGAGCGCGCCGACGAGGCTCTTGTCCGAGCTGCTGGTGCCAGTGTGCAGCTTGTTATTCCCCGTTTCCTTGACCAGCCGGTCCCGCTTCCTCTTCAAGATGGTGGGCGCGTGCGTCTCGCTCAGCCAGATCAGACCGGCGCCCGAAACGACGCCGGCCGCAATGCTGGTTGCGTAGAAGACCCAGCGCCACGTCGTGTTCTGCGCAATGAAGCCACCGGCTATTGGCCCGACGACCGGCCCAAGCAGCGGTGCGAGACTGTAGATGCCCACGGCCTTGCCGCGCTGTTCCGGCGCCCAGCAGTCACTGCAAACAACAAGAACTGTATCAGCAGAAGAACACTCGGGACGGCTTGTATTGCTTACCTCAAAGCTCCTCCCCCAACTGAGAGTGGCGCGCTTCCGCCGATGCCAGCAAGAAACCGAAACACGAACATCTCGGCTCTATTCTGCGCGAATCCACACCCGAGATTCCACGCCAGGTAGAAGAGGTTGCTCAACTGCAGCACGCGGGCGCGGCCGAACAGCTCGGAGACGGGCCCGAAGAACAGCGGCCCAATGGCATACCCGAGGACGAAGATGGAGAGGGCCATCTCCACTTCGATGTCGCTTTTCATGCCAAGATCTTTGCCTAGCGTTTCCAGTGCCGGCGATACCATGGACGAAGAGACTGGAGAGATGAAGGTGAATGTCGAGACGAGGATCGTGGTGGCCCATTTTTTCTTTGTTGTCCAGTTCTTCGGGTTCGCGGCGTCTTGCGGCCCGTCCCAGATGACGAGATCCGGATCCGTTGGCTCCTTCTCGGCATTGTCAGGAGGTGGTGCTCTGGCTGCCTCCAAGTCTCTGTCGGCCGGATTCTCGTCGCGAGCGTCAGTGGTTGATGCTGCGTGCTCTCCCGAGCCGACTGTCGTGTCCGACTTGGAAGGATCTTGTTCTTTCTGGGCCATTTCGGTGGCAGGATGGGTCGAAACGGCTTTAGAGGGCTTGCTGTTAGGTTTTATCGCTTTTTAACTCACTCCGGAGCTCGATGGCTTTAAGTATCTTGTCGGGTGCTGGTCTTTGTGCTTGTCGGATTTTGACACAGCTCAAAACCCGAGAGCCAATAGAATCTCTCCATATCTAACAACAACATGGATATTTTAGTGCATCTATGACCTCAACACTTTTGTTGCAATGTAATACTGCATGTGGCGAGCTGCGCATGAGTTAAAAATAAAGTAATAGCAGTTGAGAAAGGAAAACTCCCTTGGGTGGGTTATCGGTCTTACCATTTTGAGCCAGCTTTGGACTAGTAAACCTCACATCATGTCATGAAACTATACTACTGTCATATCTATACTTTCCGCAGAACGCCTAGCTTATCTTCTTTCTAAGAAATTTTCTTTTTTGCATCACTTTACGCCCCTGATGTTGTCTGAAAACGGAAGTGATTCCGGGTAGCTGTTCTGTTGCAATAAGGCAAAAACCCCCAAAATTTGACTACGGAGCTTGATCGAAACATTTCTCTCTATTCTATATCGAAGCAGACTTTTCCAATCCACAGCCTATGAACCATACAAATGCTACCACTATATGTCTCTTTCCGGACCATCGCAACAGTTAAATCTGCTTAGGCATCCGCATCCATCCTTCGCATCTAGCCGAGCGGAGAACAATGTACCAAATTTTGCGTGACGCACACAGCCCCACGGCTTCAGTCATCATATCTAGGCTTCGCGGCCCTGAAAATGAAAACAGATCCAACAACCCACGTCTCCACCTCCTTGAAGTTCAGCCTCAGCGCATGCTCAAAGTCGTAAGCATTGTCGTCGCTGTTATGGAAGACGCCATGGTTCAAGCAACCACGCCGGATGAAAGCCGCGAAGCGATTGTCCTTCCTTACGCCCTTCCCTAGCACATTAGCGCCGTGGATGACGCCGTCGGCCGTCATGTTGTGCTTGACGAGCTCGAAGACGCGGCACTTGTCCTGCACGGGCGCCGGGATGCAGTGCAGCAGGTAGTACATGGAGACGGAGTCGAAACGGTCCTTTGAGGGCAGGGGCAAGGGCTTCAGGATGTCGGCGACGATGGCGCGCGCGTCGGGCCGCCGCGACCGCTGCACGGCCATGTCCAGCGCCGGCCGCTCGTTGTCCACGATGGTGAGCTTGCTCGTGGCCGGAATCCCGGCTTTGCGTAGGTAATACCCCGTCCCGGCGCCGATGTCAAGGTGGTTGCTGCGCACGTTGGAGCGGAAGAGTGGGATGAGGTAGGCGGCTGTGCTGCAGCCCCAGGCCCAGGTGCTGACGATGCCGAGGACCCAGATATCGTAGAAGGCCAGGCGCCAGGGAGTGTAAACTGTGGTGGTGGTGTCGGCGGCCATTTCGAAAGTAAAGCGGATGATAGAGAGAGAAGACAGAGGGAGTGGCAATGGCTGATGTCTGGTCTTATATCGGCACCCCTGCAGGGGGGCGCAGGCTGACGTTGGCCGTTAAAATGCGGTCGGATTTTAACAGCAGATATGTATGCGAGAGACTTCTCCACCCACCCAATGTTGTCCGCCATGTGGCACAATGGCTCTCCGAATCCCCTTTGACCAAGGCTTCTGGCAAGAATACCTGTCGGGCCAAGAGGCCAAGCTCCCCGCGCTGCCGGACGTCGAGGATGTCACGGAGCGCGTGATCCGCATCATGGGTGGTAACCCTGGGAGCATGCAGCTGCAAGGCACAAACACGTACCTCGTGGGGACGGGGTTGACGCGCATCCTAATCGACACGGGCGAGGTACGTACAGTGCTACAACCATGGCTACCTACCTAGACATATCGCTGACAAACACACTGCACAGGGCCTCCCCGTCTGGATCGCGCGCGTCATCCAGCTGCTCTCGTCGCGCGGCCTCAGCATCTCGCACGTCCTCCTAACGCACTGGCACGGCGACCACACAGGCGGCGTGCCCTCACTCATCGCTCACGACCCCCGGCTCGCCACCTGCGTCTACAAGGCCCAGCCCGACAGCAACCAGCACCCCATAGCCGACGGGCAAGAATTCCGCGTCGCGGGGGCCACGCTCCGCGCCGTCTTTACGCCGGGCCATGCCGTCGACCACATGGTGTTCGTGCTGGCGGAGGAAGACGCCCTCTTCACGGGGGACAACGTGCTTGGGCACGGCTACGCCGTGGTCCAGGACCTAGGCCCTTACATGGGCAGTCTGCGGCGGATGCAAGGCCTGGGGTGCGAGCGCGCCTATCCCGCCCATGGCGCCACAATCACCGACCTCCCGGCCAAGATGGCCGAGTATATCCACCACAAGGAGGTACGCGTGCGCCAGGTTTGCGCTGCCCTGCTGAAGCGGAAGGTCGAGCTGGAGAGGGCCGGGCGCCGTGGCTTGGGTGGCTTGACTCTACGAGAGATCGTGAGGGCTATTTATGGCCATGTGCCGAATGAGATGGCTGACAAGGCGCTTGTGCCTTTCTTGACGCAGGTGCTGTGGATGCTGGCCGAGGACGGTGTCGTGGGCTTTGAGCCAGGGGACCCGATTAACAGGCGCTGGTTCGTTAAGCAGCATGCCCCGGGTGCGAAGGGATATCTAGACTGAGGACTCTTGAGTGTCTGTGGATGCGTACCCACGTGTTTTATACATGGCTGTCGTTATTATTGTTTTTCTTGGATTGGAATTTTGACCTTTAAGAAGTGGAATTAATTTGCAAGTGTGACGCGTCTTGACCGCCAGCTCGGGCTCTTGCCAGCCTGGTGTATCTCAGAACGAACAGTATTTGACCGCAAGTTTCAATGCACAGTCGAGCACCACGGAACGTCGCATAAAAGAAAAAACAAGATTCAAATGTCAAGCGCCGAACAAACCCACTAACGGCCTTTGTTCTGCGCAATCTCACGCCATTCCCTCATCGGACGATGCAGCAAATAAAAGCGCTGCCGGGACCTTGCCACAGCCTCTCTGCAGCGCCTCCACGACCCGTCACAATACTCTTCAACAGCCGCCTTCAGTCCACCCGGAGCTGCGCGCGCCATAGCCCCCGCGAGCTCCACCCCATCCACAATAGCGTGGTTGCCACCTTCACCACCGAAGATGGGCATCGCGTGCCAGGCATCCCCGATAAACACGACGCCCTGCTCGGCCGCACGTGCAATGTCCTCGCGCGTTACCGAGACGCATCGGCTCGTCCAATGGAAGACGCGCTGGGTGGAAAGCGCGTCTGGACTGAGGAAGAGAGACCAGGGAGACGCCAGCTCGCGCGACGAGAGCTCCTCAAGCAGCTCGGGTGGGAGGTGCGTTGCCTCGGCGCCGGCTGTGGCGTTGGGTTGGTACAGCGGATCCTTGTCGCCGGCTGTTGGCCGCGAGTAGGACCAATCGAGGTCGACGTGTGTGGGCGTGGCGTTGCTGACGGTGATGGGCGTATTGAAGCCGTCGCCGACGCCGGCGAGGATGTTGGACGCACCGCTGAGCGGCTTGATCAGCCGGTCATAGCCGGCACGGGAAAGTTGAAACTCGCCGTGGTAGACCACCACAGGAACGACTTCGGGAGAGACGTGCGGTAGGACTTGGGACCGGACTGTAGGGCGCACGAAATATGTGAGTTCAGAGCTTTGTAGGGGCCTCTGGGCGATACTTACCGGTCGAATGCACGCCGTCGGCAGCAACGAGAAGAGCTCCTTGATACTTGGCGCCGTTCTCGAACTCGACGGCCACGTTGCCGGGCTCGCCGCTGAAGCTCTTGAGTTTGTGCCCGTACCGCACATCCAGCTCGTCGTCGCCGCAGTCGGCGATCCAGGTGCGCAGCGCGTTGCGGTTGGCGCGCACGATGGACTGCTTAGTTGCCGGGTCGGGAGCGACCAGCAGCTCGCCGGTGCGGTTGTCGCGAAGTGCCCCGTCAATCCAGCCAGTGCCGCCAAGGTGGCGGTCCGGCGTCACGCCCCGCGTCAGACTACTGAGAGGCAGCCCCCCGAGCCCGTCGAGCAGTGCCGCATAGCCCCATTCGCGCAGACTGATGGCGAAGCCTTGACTGCGGTCCGGCGTCGAGGCCTCGAAGACGATGGTGGGGATGCCGGCGTTGGTGAGGATACGGGCTGTGGTGAGCCCTGAGATGCCCGCCCCGATGACGAGTATTGGACGAAGTTGTGGTGTGCTCATGTTTGTTGCTTGACCGCTATGTTGGAGCGACGAGAGGCTAGGTAAAGACATGAGTAGGCAACTTCCTTCGGTCATGCCACTGTCGTGTGGGGGCCATCTTACACGCATTCTAAAAGCCGAAGACGTCAGCCTGAGAAGGATTTAAAATCCGAGATGGAGTTTCCTAAAAGGGTTGTAAGCCGTGCTTACGAGTCGTGATATGGCGAGGCAAGTTTGTATAAAAGTCGCCATGGTACATCGGGTGGTGCTGCATACAATTGTACATAGCTCGCCAACATGTCAGTTCCCAAGCTTGCATTCTTTGGGAACGAATTCCCCAGCGACGACGTCAAAGACGTCTTCCGCCGCCTGCTCCGGCACACCAAGGACAGGCGGTTCCGGCTGCTCGCAGCCTTTGTCGACGAGTCGACGGCAGTCCTCAAGGATGAGGTGGCCAAGCTGCCGCAGCCTCTGAAAGAGCTGGTGCCGCACTTCGACACGGTGCTTAGCCTGGCCGAGCATGGCGACTTCCGGCAGGGAGCACTGGGCGCGGCCATGGAGAGCGCACTGCTGACGGTGCTCGAAGTGGCTCTGTTTATCGGGTGAGTGAGGCGACTGAGGAGCAAGCAGCAGTACTGACGATTTGACGTAGACACCACGAGGCCGAAGGCATTGACATGTCGGTGACGGGACTGGCCGGACTGAGCATCGGGCTGCTGGCCGCAGCAGCAGTTGCTCTTTCGAGCAGCGTGAGCGACTTGTTGGGCAACGGGGCCGAGAGCGTGCGCGTGGCGTTCCGACTGGGCGTGTACGTGGCCGATGTTTCAAGCAAGCTTGAGGCGCCACAGCCCGACGGCACGCTGCAGAGCTGGGCCCATGTCGTGACGGAGCTGAGCGAGGAGACGGTGCGCGACGAACTTGAACGCTTCAACACCGACACGCGAAGCCCGGCCCTCAGTCGCGCCTTTGTCAGCGCCGCCGACAAGACGTCCGTCAGCGTCAGCGCCCCGCCCTCGCGTCTCAATCAAGCTTTCCAGCACTCGCACCGCCTGCGCTACTCCAAGTCGCTGCCGTTACCCGTCTACGATGGCCTGTGCCACGCCCCTCACCTGTACACTCCCGACGACATCCAGGCCCTCCTCGATCCCAAAGCCTCGCTGCTCCCACCCAACCGCCCTGTCCGCATACCTCTGCTCTCGTCGCAGTCCGGCGAGCCCTTTACAGCCACTACCGCCCATGACCTCTTCCTGCAAATCGCCACCGAGCTGACCACCGGTACCATCTATCTCGACCGCCTCACCGCCGCCATCCTGGCCCATGCCGCTGCGGCCGAGTGCTGCTACCTCTCCTCATTCCGCACTTCGCTTGTCCTCAAGGGCATTGCCGATGCTCTTGCCGCAGACTCCCAGCTCGTCCGGAGCGACATGGTCTCCTGGGTGCATGTCGACTTTGGCCCTCGCCGTCCGCGCTCCTCTGCTGACGCGAAGCTGGCCATTGTCGGCATGGCCTGTCGCTTGCCAGGCGGCGCCAACGATCCTGATCTTTTCTGGGAGCTGCTCGAGCAGGGACGAGACGTACACACAACAGTGCCCGTGGATCGCTTCGACCTAGAGACGCACTACGATCCCAATGCCAAGGTGGAGAACGCCACGCAGACACCCTTCGGCAACTTCATGGACAGGCCCGGCTTCTTCGACGCAGGTTTCTTCAACATGTCCCCAAGAGAGGTGAGTCATCCTGCCGTAATCGAGACGAGCAACATACTGATATGGACGACGACAGGCTGAGCAGACGGACCCCATGCACCGGCTCGCCCTCGTGACGGCGTACGAAGCCATGGAGATGGCTGGCCTGGTACCCGGTCGAACTGCTTCTTCGCGGCCGCAGCGCATTGCGACTTTTTATGGCCAGGCAAGCGATGACTGGCGCGAGCTGAACGCGTCCCAGAACATTGGCACGTATGCTGTGCCAGGTGGTGAGCGAGCCTTTGCCAACGGGCGCGTCAACTACTTCTTCAAATTCTCAGGGCCATCTTTCAACATCGACACGGCGTGCTCAAGCGGATTGGCGGCGGTGCAGGCGGCTTGCTCGGCACTATGGGCGGGAGAGGCTGACACGGTCCTCGCTGGAGGCCTCAACGTCATCACCGACCCGGACAACTACGCTGGTCTCTGCAACGGCCACTTCTTGTCCAAGACAGGACAGTGCAAGGTGTGGGACAAAGATGCCGATGGCTATTGCCGAGCTGATGGCGTCGGATCCGTCGTCATAAAGCGTCTGGAGGACGCCGAGGCCGACAACGACAACATCCTGGCAGTTGTTCTGGCGGCCGCGACGAACCATTCGGCTGAGGCCATTTCCATCACCCACCCGCACGCCGGCGCCCAGAAGGACAACTACCGCCACGTGCTGCAAAAGGCAGGCGTGAGCCCTCTGGACGTAGGATACGTCGAGCTGCACGGCACCGGCACTCAGGCGGGTGACGCCGTCGAGTCCGAGTCGGTGGCAGACATCTTCGCCCCTGTAGCTCCGCGCCGTCGCGCTGACCAGCGCTTGCATCTCGGCGCCGTCAAGAGTAACATTGGTCATGGCGAGGCCGCCGCCGGCATTGCATCGCTGATAAAGGCCCTACTGGTCTATCAGAAGAACATGATTCCCGCTCACATCGGCATCAAGACGGAAATCAATCCGACCATCCCTACCGATCTTGAACGCCGCAATATCGGGCTTACCATGACCAATACGTCCTGGCCACGCGAAGGGAGCAAGAAGCGGCTCGCCGTTGTGAATTCATTCGGCGCACACGGTGGAAACACGACGCTGCTGCTTGAGGACGGACCGGAGAAGCAGACTTTCGAAGTCGCGGCTGTGCGCTCCACGCACCCTATCATCGTATCAGCCAAGAGCAAGAGGTCATTGCAGGCCAACGTAGAGAACCTACTTTACTATTTGGACCAGCACACGGATACGAACCTTGGCGACCTATCGTACACGACGTGCGCAAGACGTATGCACCACAGCATTCGCATCGCTACGTCGGTTTCCAGCGTCGCAGGGTTGCAGAAATTCCTACGGGCCTCCCTGGGCGACAAGACAATCACTGACGCGCGGCCCATCCCGCCCGAAGCACCTGGGGTCGTCTTTGCTTTCACGGGCCAAGGCGCCTATCACGTCGGCATGGGGCGCGAGTTGTTTGCTGCTTTCCCAGCCTTCCGGGAGCAGGTGCAACAGCTCGACCGGCTGGTGCAACGTCTCGGCTTCCCATCCGTCGCATCTGTCATTGACGGAAGCGCCGACGATGAGTCAAGCCCGCCAGTGCTCACCCAGCTCAGCGTTGTGGTGTTTGAGATTGCGCTGGCGCGCTTCTGGGAAGTGCTCGGAGTTCGACCCAACGCTGTAATCGGCCACAGCCTAGGCGAATACGCGGCTCTGGCCGTCGCTGGGGCCTTGTCGGTTGCCGACGCCTTGTATCTCGTTGGCCGGCGTGCGCAGCTGACTGAAGAGCGCTGCACTCCCGGTAGCCACTCGATGCTCTCGGTGCGGGCGACGGAGGCTGACATTGCTCGGCTGGTGCGTGACACGCCTGAGACGGCGGCGTTGCCGTATGAAGTCTCGTGCCGTAACACAGCGCAAGACACGGTCATTGGCGGCGCGCGGGATGACATTGACACCATCCGCAAAGCGCTCGAGGCACACAACTTCAAGTGCGTGCAGCTCGACATTCCCTTTGCCTTCCACACGGCGCAGATGGACGACATTCTTGATGCTTTTGAGGCGACGGCCGCCCCGGTGCCTTTCAAGGCGCCCAGCATCCCCGTGCTCTCTCCGCTGCTTGGTGCCGCTGTATTCGACGGAAAGTCGATCAATGCGAAGTATCTGCGTCGTGCGACTCGCGAGCCAGTCGACTTCATTGCCGCCGTTGGGGCCGGCCGCGACCTTGGCATGTTTGACGATAAGACGCTCTGGGTTGACGTAGGGCCGCATCCCATTTGCTCGGGCTTTGTGCGCGGATTAATGCCTGCTGCGCGCTCAGTGTCGAGCTGCCGGCGCAATGAGGATGGCTTCGCGACCTTTGCCAAGAGCCTCACCACGCTCCATCTGGCAGGTTTGACGCCTGTCTGGGCCGAGTACTTCCAACCAGACGAGCACGCTTACCACTTGCTCACTCTGCCCAAGTACGCGTGGAATGAGACTGATTATTGGATTCCGTACATTGGGACCTGGACACTGGATAAGGCGCATCTGAAGTATGGCGGACAGAAGCCGACCGGGCCTTCGCTCATGGCAGCTTCAGCACTACGGACGTCGCTGGTCCATCAAATCACAAGCGAGACCATCGAGCAGACGACAGCTGAGCTGTGCGTTCTTTCGGATATCCAGCACCCTAACTTTCTGGAAGCGGTGAATGGGCACAGAATGAATGGGTGTGGCGTAGCTACCTCGGTGCGTCAACTTTTTGTTTTTCTCTCTCCCTTCTCGCCCAGTCCCCCTGTTTTGGCCCGATGAGGCTCTGTCTGACATGCTTATAGTCAATCTGGACCGACATGGCTCTGACCGTTGGCGAGTACCTCTATCGGCGCCTCGTGCCGCAAGCACAAAAAGTGCACATGAACGTCAGCGACGTCGAAGTGCTGCACGCACAAGTCGCCAACAAGTCCAAAGGCAGCACACAGCCGCTTGCGCTTGAAGCGCAACTCGACCTCTCGATGAGCAGAATGTCGCTGGCGTGGTTTAACGTCGATGCGAAGACGGGCACCCGTGCCGCTGAATCGTTTGCTACTGCAACGGTGCGATTTGAGGATCCGCAAGCCTGGCGCGCAGAGTGGGATCGAGTGACGCATCTCGTGCAGGGGAGGATAGACGCGTTGGAGCGCATGGCAGCTGTTGGCGAGGCCAGCCGGCTCTCGAAACAGTTGGCGTACACGCTGTTCAAGAACGTGGTTGACTACGCAGAGCGATACCGCGGCATGGACAACGTGGTTCTGCACGAGCACGAAGCATATGCGAACATAACGCTGACGCCGGAGCAGCACGGGGCGTGGCACACGCCGCCGCACTGGATCGACAGCGTGGCGCACTTGGCGGGCTTGGTGATGAACGGCAGCGACGCATCCAACACGGCGGACTATTTCTACGTGACGCCGGGGTGCGAGAGTGCGCGCGTGCTGGAGCCGCTGCAGCCCGGGGCGCGCTACCGCAGCTACGTGCGCATGTTCCCGGTGCCGGGCGACGCCAACATGTTCGCTGGCGACGTGTACATCTTCAACGACGCCGGCACGATTGTCGGCATGGTCGGACAGATTCGCTTTCGCCGCGTGCCGCGCTTGCTGATGGATCGCTTTTTCTCGCCGCCTGCGGCAGAGCCTGCACCAGATACTGCCCGGGTGACGGGATATAAACTCCCGGTTGCTGCTGTTACTCCAGCTCCCGCTGCTGCTGCGTCAACATCAAAAGCTACGGCGGCGATTCCCGCGTCGGCTGAAGTCATCGGCACATCCACCGCTCACTCCGAACAGCGCCGCGGGGAGCAAGCAAGCGCGAGCACGTCCTCTGGCAGCAGCGGTGGCGGCGGCTTCACACCAGCCTCGACCACGGCATCTGCCCCGGCAGCAGAAACTACGGCGGGCAAGGACGGCGCAGACGGCGACGCGGACGCGGATGATGCAGGCATCGTGACGCAGTGCCTGGCGCTGATAGCGCGCGAGACGGGACTCCCGCTGTCGGCGCTGACGCCCGACGCGACGTTTGTGCAGCTAGGCGTGGACTCGTTGATGGCGCTGGTGCTGGCGGAGAAGCTGCGCGCCGAGCTGGGCGTCGAGGTCCGCAGTAGTCTTTTTCTGGAATGTCCGACGGTGGGGGAGTTGGGGGGTTGGTTGGGCGTGTACTGTTGAGTTGATTCGGTGGGGAGTTTGTTGTTGGTGTTGGTGAGATTGTGAGGTGGGGTGAGGTGAGGTGTGAGATGGGATGCGGGGGTTAGTCATTCGGAGTTCTGGCACGTGATGTTGAATCTGCATATGTTTTGCACGATTTCTTTATATATGAATAGAGACATTGGGAATAATGTTTTATTCCTTTTCCCTTATATCGTCCTCTTCTATGAAAATACTATAGCGAATTAATTAGAAGGATAGTTCTCCCACTACCTACCCGAGGATGATATGAGACAGATAGCTAATAAGCGGACTTATATATAGATAACGTCCGTACGGTAACGGACGTTACTAACCTTACAGAATCGCACGAAAATAGGGAGTATCTAAAGCGGTTTACTGCAGGTAGTGAGATCGTGTTTCGTTCGTAGACAGCCTTGGCTGCATCGATGACCGTCATATTAGCCCTAACTAGGTAGCTACCCGAAGACGATGCAGACCATTTGGGTAGGAGTATAGCGGATACGCGATACGAACCTGTAGAAGCTATAGATACCGTAGAGCACAATTAATTTGTTGGTTGGTATAGCCATAGCCGTAGGTAGTAGTGTACTATATATACTACATTATTAGGGGCTCACACAAAATCTATCTTTACGCCATGTATCTACAAAACCACTAATCATTACCACTCTTATTCCTTCCTCCCCATCATCCCGAAGCATCCCCAGGTCTGGGTATCTACCATTACGCCATACATCTTCCCTGCTACATATCCCGTATCTACGCCCTTACCGCGCGCGACCCTCCATCAGTACTAAATCCAGAACTAGTACCCGCTCAGCCCGCCATCAAAGAAAAACATGTCCGCATCCGCGCCCTCGTCCAACGACGTCATGCTCACCAGGAAGTCGTCCAAGGCCTGCCAGGAGACGTCTTTGCCATCGTCCACCATTGGTTCCTGCTGTGCTGCCGGTAGCAGCGCTGGTTCTGCTGTCAGGAGCCCGCTGGTAGGGGGTACCAAGGGCGCCTGCGAAGTGCTGCTAAACGCGCTTCCGAGCGCCAAGTCCGGCAGTGGCGACGGTGGACTCCATATCTGCTGGTGCTGCTGGCTCGTCGTCTGAACGCTCGTCGTCACCGGTGCCGCAGCAGCAGCAGCAGCAGCAGTGGTACCGAATATTCCCTCAATCCCCTCCGAACCCGCACTCCATGTCCCGCTCAGCAAATCATCAGCTGAAAGCCGATTGCTGCCTATATCGCGCCCTTCGGCCAACCGTTCCTCGACTCTGTTCACAAGCCCCTCCAACGGTCCTCGCAGCCCTTTGGTCGGGTGCCGTGCGACAATATGTGCGTAGCTGGCCTGTAACAGAGGCCATGCGGCGCGCACGAGAGACGTGCCGGCCGCGTCGCCCGCAAGCACATATGCCTCGGCGAGTGCTATCGCTAGCGCGTGCCAAGGAAGCGTGACGTACCACCTGAAGGGCTCGCCACGGGGGCAGGTGTGGATGAGATGAGCTTTTGTCAGGGCCTGGAGCGTCAACCGGAGGAGAGAAGCAGGGCTTTCGGTGCTCGACGAAATAGATGACGGTCTTGCAGACTGGATGGTTGCTGCCGAGTGCGAGCGGGGTCGCTGCAGCGGGCGGAGGGCCGAAAGCCGCGCTCCTGCAACGAGACAGTGGGTTCCGTGCCAGGTTAACCAGGCATATGGTGAGGATTCCGGGTCGCAGAAATGCAGGAGCTTGAGGGCGGCACTTTCAAAGCGGCGTGCGTGCGCCTGGCGTACTGTCGTGTCCGTCGATGGCGTGTCTCGTTTGCTGCTGCCGTTGCTCCCTTCGTTGTCATCGCCACTCTTGTCATCGTGTCCGCCAAAATTGAGCAGGCGGCCGGCCAGCTGGGCGTGGTATGTGACAAGAGCGAAAGTTGTGTCAGTTAGGTCTTCTTTGTCGGCCACAGGCAGCGTGGTCTCGGGACCAAAGTCATCGTCATTAACGTGGCTGGGCAGCGCCAATGTCGACACGGCTTCCTCAAGGCCAATCAGTGGCTCCGACGCTTGCCCGAACGAGGTTTGTAGATCCAGTAGGCAGATGGTGAGCCATAGTCGTTTGCGCATCTGCTGCTCGAAGAAGGTCTCACTGCGGCCGTTTGACTTGTCCGGATCCAGGTAGAGGAAGAGCGATTTCGCGATGCGGACAGCGAGGGCGAGAAGGGTCCATACGGCGCGAGTACGGTCCTCGCAGCGCCGAGCGACCTAGGGCTTTGTTAGACTTTCGCTTAGGTCTTCCCAATACCATTGAGATGGAACTTGCAAGATACAGAACGAATGCTTGAAGAAGAGTCATGTCCCGCGTTGCCAGCAAACCAGACCTCTCGATAGCAGCCTCGCACGTTCTCCGACAGTCAGCCACGACGCCGGCCCGCGAGGTATGAAACATGGTCCAGCACTGGTTCTCAGTCATGCTGCTGGCAGCAGAGAAGCAGACGGCCGAACCCAGGGCTTCCAGGGACGGGTGGCCAGGCGGGTAGTTGAGATAGGGGAGGCCATGCAGCATCCAATTGGTCAGCGACGGGCGATGCAAGAGCTTGATGATGGGATCGACTTGGCGCAGGTAGACTTGGCAGAGCTTGTCACGGTAGGCTTGGACGGTTGGGGCTGATGGGCGGTGGCTCGGCCCGCCGAAACCGAGGATCGTCAGGCCAGCATCGATCTGCGGAGGATCGGTGGCCTCTGCGACGTCGACAAGCCCTCTGAGCTCGCGGATGCCATGGACCAAGTCGGCCCAGAACTGGCTTGGCTGCTGGGGCGCTCGGCTTGGCGCCTTGGCTTGAGCGGGAGCGGCATCAGGAGCGTCGTCGGGCTTGGCCAGGCCCTGGACCAGCGTCTCCAGACGGTGGATGCGGCTACTGAGATGGTTGTCGAGAGTGGTGGTACTGGTGGTGTGGGTGTGGTGGACGTGGACGGCAGCGGACGAACGGTGCGCGTGCCGACCGCGCGGGAGGCGCAAGCGATGGATGGGCACGCACGTCACGCCGGCCGCGACACAATTGGTGCACGGCTCGTTCTTGTCACATTTGACCTTGCGGTCGCGACAGAGAGTACAGCTGAGCTGCGGCGTCATGCTTGATGATGAAGATGGGAGCGAGGGGGATCTTCATCTCAAGCTTTTATCTGTACGCGTGGCGCAATATCCAAGTACTTGGCACCGTAAGCATAACTCATCCGACATCACCCTTCCAACACTCGTGGGAACGGCACTTTCTTAGGTATGCTGATCCTCCATCACCGCTACTTCCAACCGGGAAGGTCATCACTACAAAACCCGAGACATTGAGAGCACAAAATCCGAAAGGATTGTTTGCGGCCCCCGTAAGCACCAACTCAGCTCCATTTTAAGAGATGCGGGCTGCACCATCTCAATCCCATTACCCACGCAAAGATGTCTTCCGCCGACAAAGTTCAGGTAAGCATCTTCTCGCATGGTTCGACACGCTTCTTACTCACCGTCTCTATCAGCCAGAGGTCAAATCAAGCGACCAGCTTCTCGTCTGGAATGCCATCTCACGCTTTCTGCCCGTGTCCCACCCTGACCACTCGTATTGGTGGAAGGTGACGGGCCGCCATCTTGCCTTGATGATGCATGAGGCAGAGTACCCACTGGAGCGGCAGATCGAGAACCTACTCTTCTACTTCTTCACCGTCATCCCACGCCTCGGGCCGCAACCCACCTCCCGCGAGCCGTGGTTCAAGAGCCGAGTTGCAGCCGGGGCGGGCGATGGTGCCCCCATCGGATACAGCTGGCGCTGGAGCATCGGTGACACCAAGCCCGGCATCCGCTACTACATTGAGCCGGTGGGCGCGCTGACCGGCACACCGGCTGACCAGCTCAACGAAGTCGCAACCAAGGAGCTGCTCGTCGAGCTCGGCAGCCTGCTCCCCGACGCTGATCTCTCCCTCTTCTGGAAGTTTGCGCCGCACCTGCGTCCCAACCTGACAGACTCGGCTTCGCTCCAGGCCTTTGCCGGTTCTGCTTTGCTGCTCGGTGTCGAAATTCCCCCCTCGTCCAGCGCCGTCGACATCATGACCTACTGGTTTGCCCGGGCGCCGACGCAGGCCGCCCAGCTGCTCGACAGTACTCTGCCCGCCGCCATGCGTGATGCCTACGGTGCCGAGGCCGACCTTACTGCTCTTGCTGCAGTCCGCGACTTCATGGCAAAGGACCCAAACGGCTCCCAGCTCACCATGACCGGCACTACCGCGACAGACTGCCGCCGCCCCGCCGATGCCCGCGTCAAGATCTACGTTGCCACGCGCAACTCGTCCTTCGACCACATTGCAGCCGTCATGACGTTCGGCGGCCGCAAAACCGTGTCCTCGGAGCTGATGGCCCAGCTGCAAGAGCTTTGGTACCGTCTGAAGGGATTGCAGCCAGACTTTCCCACGTCGGCACAGCTGCCGCTTCCTGCTGGCGATGGTGGCGCAAACCCCATCGGCTTGAGCTTCTACTTTGACATTCAGCCCAAGCACGCTCTGCCGGATGTCAAGGCGTACTTTGCCGTCGGAAAGCATGCCAAGACCGACTTGGCTGCTGCCGAAGCCGTGACTGGTTTCTTGGAGCGCCACGGCCGTGGCCGCTACACTAAGGCGTATATGAACGCATTGCAGGGCGTCGTGACTCCTGAGGAACTGCGCACCCGCCGTGGCGCGCAGGCTTACTACTCGGTTGCGTTCAAGAAGGGACAAGTGGATATTACGTCGTACTTTGTCCCGCAGGTTTATAGGAGGTTCGATGAGATAGAGGCCGAGATAAATGGTAGATAGATGACTCGCTTATCTTCAGGGATAAGTAGAAAGATTGTTAGGATGATTTTGACCTAGTTTTCTTATATAATGCCACCAGCGGAACCGTAGGACACCGAGATAGGCTTGGAACACTCGCTTCTACTCTTGCACGATCAGGTGTATTGCTGGGTACGTCATAAAATGGCTTGAAGTTGGGAAGTTATGGCGGGATAGAACAGTGGACAGGGAGCAGCTACATAGTCTGAAACCACTAAGTCTGTCTCTTACTACATCAAAACATCTACGACCCATGGCGAGTTTACCCCGTGTCACCTCGTATTATTCTACCACTCCATATCCACACTACATATATATACAATGCCGCTCGAGCCTACCTTTACTCCTCAGCATTGGTTCAATTCGACAACATGCGCGCCCCTATTTTAGTCTCTTCTTTGGAAGCTATCGCCGCCACCACCACGAACGGTACCTTTACTGATGACAGTAACGTCCGAACCATCAGCGACTTCCGCTGCTCTGTTGCTAAATACTCTTTGCGCCTACAGTAACTTCTGGTTTCCCGACAGCGCGACAAGGCCTAAGCTATCTACACATAGTCTCGCACTGCTCCTTTATACTGCCGTCGATTGAAGATTCAAGCCGCATATAAAGAGGCATACAGCATATATATCCACTGTCCAACGTATTTTTTCGTAGTTACGTAGTGTACAACCGTTCATGTTCAAATAAATCAATGCAAACTCCTAAGCTAACAGACATGACGACAAAGGCATCCCAAAACTTAAAAGCCATGAGATAAAATTTACACAAGACGAATAGTTGCCCTGGATGCTCTTCTCATAAACAGAGAACTAGCTGGCCTTTTCGTAAACAAATCAGTATCCCAAACCTCAACAACGCCGATTCGCCGGTACTCATTACTTCCGGGATGTACTGGCCTACATGCAAGGCACTGAAGGCTCGGAGGTCGACCGTTAGGATACGCCGGATAACCGTACCCGTCCAAAGGATCACCATGTGCCAGTTTTCCAACTAGCACCAGCCAAAATCCTGCTTGGCCATCGCTTTTGGCGACTGCATCACTGTCGAAAGAATACACGGAAGCCTCCGTAGGGTAAGCGAGCAAGCGAAGAGTATGACGTTGCTCAGAAAAGCATGTGGCTTTCCTGTAAGCCTTCAGCCAGCCGCGGGCAGGCTGGTAGCCAATGTTTTCTCTGGTGAAAGGTTCTGGGCGATCAAAATTGCAGGTTCCTTTCCATTTCACTTTACTTCCAGGACGGACTTCTATTACCAACGTGCGAAGGGTGATAGTTAAGTTGTTTGTTTCGGAGGTCACAGAGAGGACTTCTATTTCCTTGGAGAATTTGTCTTCGAAAATTGGATAATGGTAAAAGACCGGACACTGTACAGATGTCCAACTCCAACTTGGAATGCGTGGAGATTTGCGCATTTCATCTGGTTCTCTTCTGTCTTCATATTGGTCGGTAGTCCATAAAAGGCTCTGAGCAAGATGACTCCCGGCCCAAATACCGGTTACTACATCCTCACCAACAGTTTCCTGGAATTTTGTGCAGATACCGGAAAGAGCAAGCATCCTGTCACCGTCATTTATAAAAGACCGCCTGGAGTAGTCTTCGATCATGCGCGCCCAACATCGAAACCTCCAATCTAACGGCAGGTAGGAGGATATCGCACTTGGAGTGACAAATATATTGTTCCGGAGCGCGGACTTTAGCAAGAGATGATTGTCGTTCCATGGGCTAGGTATGCCACTGAGGCAGTTCCAGGAGGTGTATCGAGAAGAAAATCCAATTGTCCTGGCCGATAAAAGCTGCTCTTGCAAAGCCCAGCCTCGCTTGTCCAAGCAACTCCGTGCCGAACAAGAGTTAGAGGTTTCGTCTGGCTCTGAAAACAGTCCGACCGTATCATTTTGCGCGTGGGCCGCGGTGAGGGTGAGTATAGCTCCACTGTAGACCTGAGCCATATTGCTAGCTTCCCGTGCCCAGTCGTCAGGGGAATCTTGGATTATGCATAAAGCATTGATCCAGATATATTGGATACCCAGCCTACGTGTAAACAAAATGGCCTCGCTCAAGGTCTTCGGCAATTGGCTCATTGGGATACCTATTTTTCTGGATTCCAAGTTGTCTAGATTGGTGATGAAAGCATTCGAGCTTTTGTGCCATCCATAAGATAGGGCACAATATGGTGCCTTTTCATGTTCCTCTGACTCGTGGAGGAAGGGATTGTCACCTTCTTTTCCGACATCGATAACTCTTGTAGGAAGGCGGACGCACTGACTGCCATTTCGGACACAATTCAAATGTTCCGTAAGGCAACGGTATAGCCTCTTTCGGACGTCTTCCGCCGATTCCATCTTCTCTAAACTTTCATGTTCTTTTTGAGCCGACTTGCCTAGAGATGCAACGAGTGACAGATAGGTCGGTTGCAAGTCGTCGGCGAAAGATTCCAGCCCATGTGCAGAAGGACTCTTTTGGCACTCTGCGGTCGATGCTCCAGCGACAGCCTTGGCCATCTCCTCATCACCTCTTAGGACAGCCTGGTACAGGATGGCTTGTAAAGTTTTTGATGTTTTCTCCAAAAAAGAGCTACCTATGAGAAGCTCCCGTATCATATCGATGCTGTTGTAACAAACCGCAACATCCAGAGCCGTATGGCCATCTTGATTCAATACATCTGTTGAGGCACCACCCTGTAGCAGAACGCGAGCGACTTCAATGTTTTTACGAGCTGCTGCTCGGTGCAATGGACTCGCTAGGCCCATTTTGAGAGATCCGTGGTTGTTCATGTTGCTCTGATGGCACTGAGCGTCCAGCTTGGCGCCGCGACGAATCAAGAGAGTCGCAATCTCGGTATTGTTTGCATCTGCAGCTTGATGCAGCGGTGTTCGGCCAAGCGAATTGGTAGAGTTCACATCGGCACCAAAGTCGATAAGCAGCTCCGCGATTTCCGTATCCGCAAGAAGGCAAGCCTCATGGAGGGGTCGTCCGCCAAATGTTTCGCCCGCTGGTTCTTTCGAACCGGAAACACATCCTGTTCCATTCCGATGGCTGACATTGTCATCCCATGTCGTATTTGGATCTAGCCCTTGATCGAGTAGCTTCTGGACTGCTGCTTTATCACGAGTTTCAATGGCTTTTCTTATTTCTCCTCCTACCTTGTCGCTTGTATATCTGTTCCAAGACATTAGATAAGGATCCACTGGACTTGATGATCCTCTGGGGGATGATAGCGGTATTTGAGCTGGCAAACGGAAAAATAAATTGCAGTAACAGGACCCGCTGGCTGTGTTGTAGACGAGAAATGGATTGATGAGACAAGCCTTAAATGTGTCTCTGAGCTGTTGGTAAGACCGGAAGAGCCGCAAGCCTTTCGACGTAGCCCCGCTTTAGAGTGGTTGCCTTGAGCTCCCCTGCTTACTACCCCTCTTTTGTGCAACATCCCAGTGTAACGCGATTGGTGTGAGCCAATCGCCTACATCTGTCGCTCGCTTAGACGTGGTGGGGGGTGGATTGTCACCTGTCCGAGTCTCTAGGCAGCAGCGAGACAGATCTGCTGGACTCGGTGGCTTCAAAGCCGAGCTCGTGGCCGCTACAGTAAGACGTGGAAAAGTTTAGCGTCGGGGGAGTTTCTGTGTTCGTGGGAGCAGGAGATGGTCTTACTCTTATCGCGATATCTTCCGAGTACTGGGCATCAAATCTGTAAATAAGAGTGAGCACTTCACTCGGCTTATACTACTCACCTTGAAGCTCCCCCTCCAACTAAGAGCGGTGCATGCCTGCTGATACCAGTAAAGGAATGCCTCGAGACAAATAGTACTAATGAAAAGCTCGACGTTGAAGCTCGTAGTCGATCCTTATGCACGGCGGCGGGTCCCACGTGAGTGCCAAGCATACAACCGATCACTTTCCCACACAGGATAAATAGCTGCCTACCTTAGGAGCCAGAAAGTGTGCCAATTGTTCTATCATATTTCAAAACCGGTACGAGCCTCAAGTGTTCTCGGAACTGCCTGTTAGCTTTTGCTCTTACAAGCACGTATTCCTTTTTGTTTTCCGTGACCTAGTCGACTATTATGGCTGCTACAAAGATACACGTCAGCATTGCGGTCTTCAAAGGGGATCCGGTCGACTACCAGATATTCCGCCACACAATGCTATGGTTTCGTTTCGCCGATCAGTTGCCACCTGTCTCAATCGACGTTATGGGGCCACCCCAAGAGTTCCAGTTTCAAGTTAGGGAAAACTACGATCCTTCTCAGAGCAGAGACTTTGCGAAAGAAGTATCGGTCGGATATCTACGAGTAGCAATGACAAAGCCTCAACTCGTGAACTTGATTTCTCAGACGCCTCTAGAAAACTCCAACCCAGAGTTTAACTGCCAGGTTTGGGTTGAGGCTGCGCTCAAAAGGTTGCAAGCCCAAAATTATATATCGGAGGATGAATATAGAGCGGGTGTAGATGGAATGGTTGATGCCATAATGGAAGCACGGGATGAGCCATAAGCGTATGGATTAATCGAGCTAAAGCTATGGCTGTCGGTTCATTGCAATTGCCAGCGCCTAAGGGCCTGGTAAACGATTAGCTCTTCGTGGTATTGCTCTGGAAATATATATTGCGCATAATCTTTCCAGTCCCTATGTTTGGCATGACGGTCCAGGAATTTAACATATTCCCAGTATTCAGGATACCAGCCCGCAAATTCCCAATCAAGTAGAGCTCGGATCTGGTTATCTTTAACGATGATGTTATGCTGTGTCAAGTCGCCATGAGTAAAGACTATGCGATGATCTGAGCGTAAATGATGTGCAAGAGCGTTGCGGATATCTGTTGGAGTAGCGTTGAATAGATCAAGAATAAATTTGTTAAAGCTGGTCTCATCCGGAAACGGGCCGCCAGTGTAGACGTCGAGTTGACGGCAGTCGCGGACAACTCCGCCATTGCAAGACCCGATCATGCCAGTCTCTGATTGACGGCACCTCATTGAAGAGAGAATCTGTCCAAGCTGATTGGCAATGTCTTTCTTCTGAGCCGGAGACATGGTTGGCCAGACGTCCTCAAGGTTATCCCCATCGATGTAATCCATCCAAATGCTTTCGGTTTGATCGTGCTGTGCGCTCTGGATCTGTTGATCTTGAAGATGCGGGACTGGTATTTGCAACGTTCGGGCATACTCGAGAGCATCGCGCTCAGCTACAGTTACTCGTCTACCGAATTTCACAACCACGCCATTTTGTCGCCGTTCTACTCTACAGCCTGAGCTGTCGTGGAGAAGATGAGTTTCTGACAGAGAAGTTAATGGGATTTCTGAACACGAACGGTGTGTGATGTACCTGATGACATGGTGGGTGTTGGGTGTTTGAGGTGTTGAGGTGTGATGACGTGGGCACAAAGTCAAGTTCACGTGACATTTAAATCACGTGCCAATACATCTTCCGCCAGCTCCCGCTTCCCGCCCGCCGACCTCGTCCACAAAACATCTCTCCCCGAGCAGAACAAAGATAAATCATCAACTGTCGCCATGGCCTGATACCGCTTGTTCAGGAGGAGCTGCGTGCGCCTTGGTCGCCTTGACTGCCTCCAGATCAGCATCTTCGCCCGCTTTTCCCTTGCCTAATCCCTTCTCGCCCGCCTCCTTGTCGGTTTGCTGCTTCTTCTTCTCCTTGAGGCCGTAGTCCGAATTTATGGTTGTCCTCAGCTTGATTTGCTTCTCCAAGAACACAAGGAGAAAAAAGGCTATCGAGAAGGCGAGCGCAACTTCCCATACAACCTTTAGGCTGGCGGTATAAACATCCAAGACCTGTTGTTCGTCACCAGCAGGAAGAGTTCTGATGTAGGATCCATCGATATGCGAATATCCCCTCCCACCGCCTAGCTCTGCCCGCGCTTGGGCGTTTTCGACACGATACAGCAAGTGGCTGAACCGGTTGTTGAATATGGCTGCGGGAATGGCAATTCCCCAAATACTTCCGTACGAGCGGATAAACCCCCACGTTGAGGTAGCGACAGCGACATCTGCCTGACTGAGGCCTGCCTGAACTGCAGGAAGGAGAGTTGTAAGAACGCATCCTGTGCCCAGGCCGGCCAAAATCTGGTAGACGACTACCTCGGCGAGGGACGACGAAGCGTCGAAGCGGATGTACAGTCCAGCTGCCAGAGTCATGAGAGCAAACCCGCCGAGGTGAAGGGCTTTGTAGCGACCGTAATTGGTCAAAAGACGTCCAGCTACAATGGCTACTGGCACACCAACAGTGACTGTAGGGAGGAGCAGAACACCCGATCTAGAAGGCGAGACGAGGCGCACCGCTTGAAAGTAGACGGGCAAGAAATAAATCCTCCAAAACGTCAACATGGATTGTCCAAACGTCAGGACCAAGGCCGTGGCGCTCGTTCTGTTTCCGAACACACGTGAAGGAATAGTCGGCTGGACGCAAAATTTACTCGCCTCGTAAACATGGAAACACACTGTCCCCACGAATCCGATGACAAGAGGGGCAATGACATGCGGCGAGGACCAAGGATATCGGGTGTCAGCCCAGGAGAGGGCGATGAGGATGGCAATGACGGAGCCAATCAAGATGAAGTTGCCGACCCAATCGATCTGTCCCAGCTTTTCCTTCAAGGTAAACCTTTTTCGGTAGGCCACCTGGAGAAAGAAAAACTGAAGCAACAACGTCACACCTCCGATCGGAAGATTGAGCCAAAAGACCCATCTCCAGGCGTCGTGCTGGACAATGACGCCTCCTAGGACAGGACCAATGGTGGTGCCGATTCCAAAGGTAGCGAAGATGATGCCCATGTACTTGCCTCTTTCGCGGACGGACACAAGGTCGCTGATGATGATCTGGGTCATGACGCTGACGCCTCCGCCGCCAATCCCTTGAACAACACGCCCGGCGATCAGCATCGTGGTCGACTTTGCGCCTCCACTAATGCCGCTGCCCAAGGTAAAGACGGCAACGGCAAACATGGTAGGCCATCTTCGTCCAAAAACTCCGGCGAACTGGCCGTAGAATGGCTGGAAAGCAGTGCTTGTCAAAAGGTAGCCGTTTAAGATCCAGACATAATTGTTTCCTGAATGTAACTCGCCGACGATGGAAGGCAACGCAGTTGAGGTGACGGTGCCTTCCATGGCGGCTAGCAGAGTTGCAACACAGAGCGGCGGAAAGACAGCCCAAAAGCGCCAGCCGCGGGAAGCGGTCTGAGGCAAGGGCGGTGGCATTTTGGGAGGTGCGGCAGTGGTAGAGTTCGACATGATGGGCAAGGGTCTAGGACTGATGGTTCACAGGGGATTTCACACAAAAGACCGTGTAATAACAGAGTGGCATGCAGTGCATCCTCTATCCTGAGCCGAGCCATCTACCCAAAGTGGTTACCATTGCCGAGCAGACTTATCCTTATCTCCAAGCGCCGAGTCGGCGAAACACAGTATTTCCTGTCTGATCAACACCGAATCCCGATAGTTACATATGCATATCAGAGGCGGAATGAATCCTGCCGCTCTCTGCTGCTCACAGGCTCCAACGCGAGGCGTAGCCCGTCCATCGTGCTGCACACCCTGTCCTCTCTTGACCGGACGTCTGATACCCCCGCATGCTCTATCCGCCAAACACACGCCTTCATTCTCTGCAGTATCTTCTTTCCTATCTCAACGATAAGGACTAGTTGCAGCGCAGGAAATGACCCTATCGAAACTGTCCCTGTCGCCAGTTCGGGTAATTGTAAGCCTTCCACGTCCTCTTTGGATATGGCTTCTCGCACGGCGTTGAACAGATCCGCGTAGATCTCCAGTGTTCTAATGTAGCAGGACAGGATAATCAACGACGATCCTGAATCAAAGTCTATATTCTGTAAACCAATGTCTGCTTCTGTTTCCACAGGGTGATCGGGCACCTCTAGAATTTCGTTCCGACTCGGATTCTGTGAGAATCGAGAGGAGCTGCAGCGAGAGGCTAAACGTCTCTTCAAACACGCCATTAGTCCTGCTCATCCATCTGTCTCTAATATGGGGGCTCTCTGCGATCCACGACACGTGGCGCGCGTGTCCGTAGAGCTTAACGTTCACCTCGGTCACCTTGGATAGCCACTGGGCGTGAGTCTGTGATTCGTTCGGCTGCTGTTGTGCCAGACAAGGCGCTGAACCCTCTTGTCGGGAGAGGCAAGTCGACAGAGAATCGAAATCGACGTCCGGTGCAGCTTGCGACCCGAGGAAGTCGTCGGCGGGGAGCCAGGACGGCGTGAACGGATTCATGAAATCATTAATGGAGTCCAAATTGGATGTAGGCGTGGGCATGTGGAACAGCAGTTCACTTGCCGGCGGCGTATTTGGCGCAGCGGACAGGTTCCATTGTAGCAGGCAGCTCATGTCTGGTATAGCATGGATTAGTTTGTAGCAGTGGGAAGACCAGTCTGCACGTAATTACCGGGTTGCGGAGATTCAACCTCAGCAGGCGTGTCGGCGGTGGTATGGGCCCGATTCCGCGCTCTCCGATTCCGCAGAGATTGACTCGATGTGCAAGGTACGTTGGCCTTGGTGCATCGCAGGCAACTCCCAGTTGCCTCTCGTTGACAACTCAACTTCTGCGCATGGCGCCGATCGCATGCTCTTCTCAGTCGAGGCTCTGACATTGTATCACGCGTTTGACCACGAGACGATAACGACAAGGCGAAGCTACTTAAGAGGCATTGCTAGCCACGCGGCGAAGTCTTTGCCGCGCCAACTCAAGCTTTGAATCATTTGCTTGTTGGACTGGGCAGGATCAGGCCAATGTTGGTTCTAGCCCGATGTAGAAGGTCGTTGTACGAAACTTACACCACCCTTGTAAGCCTCAATTCTAAAAGCGGACGCCCTAGAGCCTGCCATTATACTGCCGAAACAACCCTGGTTCGGCGATGACTGAATGGCTTCATAGGCTGCGTGCCCCGCGTCGAATCGCCGAACTCCACTTTCCCGACCGTATACCATAAATGATGACGGAAGGAGGCGTTTGTGCCAGTCTTCGTTCCTTACCCATCACATTGCGGCATGCAGGACGACAGGGATTCCGTCACGGGCTTCCCCGCGTGGGGAAATCACCCATTCCTCGCTACCGCGCTACTTGCCGCTACACTCTATTACTCGATGCTTGCTGTGTACCTCTTGTACTTGCATCCCCTCTCTAGATTCCCCGGACCTAAGCTCTGGGTGTTGTCCCGCCTCCCGAACGCCCGCTCCCTGAGGAGAGGCACTTTCATTCACGACTTAAAGGCGCTACACGACAAATACGGGCCTATTGTACGATATTCTCCAAATAAGCTGTCCCTAATCGGCCCATCCGCATGGCAAGACATCTATGGACACCATGGTGGCGAGAAAAACTTCTCAAGAAACCCGCTTTGGTACCAGCGAGCACCGAACGGGGCTCATACCATCCTGTCCGCCGACAACACCACCCATGCACGGATTAGAAAGCTGCTCTCTCACGCTTTCTCTGAGAAGGCACTGAAGCAGCAGGAGCATCTGATCCAGGTGTACCTCGATCTTCTGGTCACGCGCCTCAAAAACAAGGCAGACAATCGGCCCATCAATATCAAGGACTACTTCCAGTTTACGACCTTTGACATTGCAGGAGACCTGGAATTTGGCGAGTCTTTCGGGTGCCTCGAGAAAGAAGATTACCATCACTGGATCAGTGTGATGCTGGCGCACTTCAAACGGCTCGTTCTTCTTGGCTCAACGCTCATGTTTCTCCCCATCCTCCGTCCTATTGTACGGCTGCTGATCCCAAAACGGGTTCGCGAGCAAAGAATGCAACAGTTTGAGTTTTCTCGCGCCAAGGTGGGAAGACGTCTCGATGTGGGCGACGACCCTACCCGACCCGACTTCATGACCTACGTTTGCCGGCACAACGATGAAAAGGGCATGACCAGGGACGAAATTGACGCTACATTTGATATTCTTGTCACTGCTGGTAGTGAGACCACTGCTACGACCATGACCGGCATTTTGCATTACCTACTACGGTACCCAGACAAGTTTCAGAAGTTGAAAGACGAAATTCGCACGGCTTTCTCACACCCTTCTGAGATAGATATTAAGAACACTACTAGGTTACCATACCTAACGGCTGTCATCAACGAAGGATTGCGACTCTGTCCACCGGCTCCTACAATGCTGCCTCGCTTGGTTCCTGAACGTGGCGCTGAAGTTTGCGGTCACTGGCTTCCTGGTGGCGTAAGTGTTCACCTTCTTCCAATTCATACAGCATTTGACATTAGCAAGACATCCGTTGGAGTTCCCCCATGGTCTGCCTTCCGTTCTGCTTCAAATTTTGCTTCCCCCGACTCTTTTATTCCCGAGCGCTGGATTAACCCAACTAAAGGTGGTCTGGCCCTACATCCGCATGAGCCCAGCGCTTTCATGCTATTCTCATACGGCCCGCGCAATTGTCTGGGTAAATTCTTGGCCTGGGCAGAAATCAGGCTTGTGCTGTCCCACCTTGTCTGGAACTTCGAGGTAGTGGTTAAAGGGCCTGGTTATAAATGGGAAGATCAGCTTACGTTTATCATGTGGGAGAAGCAGCCTTTGGTCGTTGGGCTGACTCCGGTCATTCATTAACGTAAATTAAACTAAACTGTCGTTTTCGCTAGCCTCAAGATTGTTTAATTTCTTTCGGTAAGGACTAGCTGCTATTTCCGGTTGCAAAACTTAGATAACTTTCTCGCTATCTATGGTATTAAGAAGGATAGATGAAGCATTTATTATTTTGCGCTTCGTATCACGAAAATATGCCTCGACACTGTAAAACTATCATTATTGTTTCTATTAGGCCATCATAAAGTATTATTTCTGAAGACACAAAGTTCTCATACGGTATTTGCAAGGGCAATAATAAAAACAATGCTTTACTGATCTAGAACTAACTACAGCTGTTGCACGCCATCCTCTCCCGTTACTTTAAAATGCAAATACAAGTTTCTTACCAGAGACCTTCCCCCTGCGTAGCGAGTCTATACGCGGAACCACGGCAGCTAAACCCCCCTTATGCAGCTCCAGGGGATGTGGCTCTAACAAACGCTGTTTCAGTTCAGCTTCTACTAGGCGTACCCAGCTCGCACTGAACGCTCGATCTTCTGGAAGTGCAGGCCGACGATAAGCACCCGCCAATTCAACAGGTTTCCCGAAGAGCGTCCAGCCAAGAACCCAGTCATGAGAAACATTCCGGCGACGGATTGTAAGGCGCCGGGGATATTGTTCCAGCGCAGTGTAATGCCCACCGCCATCTCCAAGGGCGCCATAGCAAAGCGTCATGGTAGCAGCGTTGCCGATGCAGTCTAGAACGTATGCCAGTTTGTTTTTTGTGTACTCCTTTATCTCATCTCTGCAAGTGGGCGAGTTGTAGTCGAATGCTTTCACAGCGCCGCGGCTCGCAACCAACTGGAAATTTCGGGGCGAACAAGTGACAATGGGCAGATAGCCCGACAGTCGTAGCATCTGAATAGCCATGGTGCCAGTCGCAGTTGCTCCACCGTGGACGAGGACGTGTTGTTGTTGTTGCCCCGCATTGAAATCTTGGTTGTCTCTGAAATGAAGTTGAAGGGACCGGAAGGCCAGCCCGACTGTCATGACGCCCATACCCATGGCTGCGCCCATTTCAAAAGTCATGTAGTTTGGCATCCGGATGCAGAGGTCTGCAGGAGCGACCACAAACTGAGAAAAAGCTCCATTTGCGGGGTTTCCGGAATTGGCTCCAATGTCCAAGTCTTTACGCGTAACTTCGGCGCCAATGCGTACCACTGTCCCGGCATAGTCGCTGCCGCTGGTTGCACCGGCTGTTGTTGACTGGTCAAGCAGCTTATAATCTGATGGGTTGAGCGCGACGGCGGCGGTTCGGATGAGAACTTGGTCTGGCTCTAGCGGTGGCAAAGGGACACTCTTCATGGCAAGAGTGCCCGGGCCCGTGGCAACGAGGGCCCTCTGAAGTCGTGGGATTCTTGGTTCTGTAGACATGGTTGCTTGCATATGGAAGAGCAGTGACAGTAGTCTATACTCTATAGCTGTTCCCCCGTCCTGTCGTTAGGCACTTCGGTGATTATGCAGACTCAGGGGCAGGGCCGAGTCAATGCCAACACCGATACATTCGGCGTACAACACTTTTAGCGGCTACCACGAAATCCGAATCACCGAACGTGTCCGAACAAGGGAGCATTATTTTTCTAATGGCAGTTGGAGCTGGCTCTTTAAATCCTTGCAGTAATGGATATTCGTCACGCATTACAACAGCCAAATCTTGTCATCAGCAAAGCAACAATGTTCCGATTATTTAAATCAGACTTTTTCAACTTCGAGACACTGCGTCTCCTGAGCTTTACTCCGTATGAAGGCGGAGAAATCGCCGAGATTCTCGAAGCAATCGGGGAGATCAAAGACAACGACGTCGAAAGCTGGTACTCGGCCTGGATGAAAGCCGGCACAAAGGCAGAAGCAGTGGCCGAGCAGGCAGAATTGGCTGGCAATCGCAATGCGGCAAGACGGGCCTACTTCAGCGCATCCAACTATCAGCGGGCTGCCCAGTTCATGCTCAACGGCCGAAACCCGAACAAGGACTCCCGCATTTTGTCGGCGTCAGAGACCGCGATATCCAATTTTAGAAGGGCTACTCTGTTAATGGATGCAAAGGTCCAATGCTTGGAAATCCCGTACGAGAAAGGAGTCAACCTTCCAGCATACCTTTATCTTCCCCATCCTTCTAAGCAACTTCCGGGAAAGATGCCATTTATTCTAAACACTGTCGGCGGTGATGCTACTCAGGAAGAAATTTTCAACATTTTCCCTCGCGACGCGCTCGAGCTCGGGTATGCAGTGCTTACTTTCGAGGGTCCCGGCCAGGGCATTGTCTTGCGGCGTGACCAACTGCCAATGCGTCCAGACTGGGAGTTCGTCATCTCTGCAGTGCTCGATTTCGCTTTCGAATTTGCCAAAGATCATCCGGAGCTGCAGCTGGATATGGATAGGCTGGCCATCTCCGGGTCATCTGTCGGTGGATACCTATCTCTCCGTGGCGCTTTGGATCCTCGCGTCAAAGCTTGCATTGCAGTAGATCCGTTCTACTGCATGTGGGACTTGGTTAAAGGCCGCATGCCCGACTTTTTCATCAATACCTTCGAGGCAGGCGGCTTCGCCTCAGACGAGGCATGGGACTACCTGGTCGACTTCCTTAGTTGGGTGAATGTCCAGACACGGTGGGAGTTCAACCACTTGCGATGGATGCTGGGAGTCCAATCAGCCGCGGACGTATTTCGCAAGATGCAAGAGTTCACTTTCAGTCGCGAGGACGGTGTGGACGTGCTGCATTCGGTCCACTGTCCAGTCATGGTCACGGGAGCGGGGTATTCCATGTATGCCAAACCGGAAATCAGCACAACCCGCATATACAATTGCTTGAGTCACTTGGACGAGAACCAGAGACTCCAGTGGATTGCGACAGAGCCTGGAGACGGCGGCCTGCAATCGAAGGTGGGGGCTTTCGGTGCCTTGACACGACGGAGCTTTGAGTGGCTGGACAAATTGCTTGAAATTGACCGCAAGATTCCGTTGAATTTTTAGAAACATTCTTGTCCAGCAAATAGCTACATAGCACCATAAGGTCACTGCGCCTCATATGCAACTCAGGCTGCAATCGTGTCGTTAAGCGAGACTGTTCAACTCGTCATATCAGCTTGCAGCCGGTATGGATATTGGTGCCGGCTTATTATTATGCATGTACATCCTTGCACCCCTGTATGTTGAGTTGAGTTGAGTTGAGTTGTATTCATTTACCCTGACCCATCGCCCTGAGCGATATGCAGGCTA